GAGGCAGCAGCTCCTGTCCCCTCCCCGATTCTTGGCCTCAACTCTAAAGGCACCTCGGGATTGTCAGGTCCAACCCCCTTGTTTTAAGGAGCTTGTCAGGGCTGACAGATCCACTGCACTGCATGTGCCTCCCGTGTACTCATCTGGCCTCTTCTTGATCATGTCCAGAGACAGGCCACTCACTCCCAAGTCAGCCCCTCTGGTCGTAGAAAGTTCTTCAGACTCTCCCTGGAGTGTTCTCCTCCAGGCATCTGAAGATAACATCACATCCCCTCCTTTTCTTTTTGGACAAAGCACCCCCAAGACCTTCAGCTATTGCTCTGGTGACCTGGCTTCAAGCCCCACTCACCTTGCTCCTTCCTCTGAGTCTGCCCCATCCCTCATAAACTGTGGTCCCCAGGTTTGACCACTTTCTCTGGGTATGGCCCACCCTGCCTGGGTCATGAGAGGCCAGCCACTGTGGCTGAAGACCCCGTTTCTTGCCAACAGGAAGGGGATCACAGTTGTTTCTTGTGCCTCCTGATGCCTGGAAGGCAATAGTTGCCATGCCTTTTCCAAACCTGTTGCTGGTTACACATGCCTCCTGACCCTGAAATTAAAGGACACACTGGGCTCTGTTGATTCTACCTTATTAGATCTGATGGCTTCTTCCAACCTGTTGGGGTCTCTTCAGATCCTGGCTGTTACCCAGTTCACTTCTTGGGTTTGGATCTTATCCCACAGTAGATCAATTCATATCTTCATTCAAGATTGTAAGGCTGCCCACAGGAAGCTGGGAATAGAGCCGGTGGCACATCATGAGACCTTCCTCCAAGTGAACATCCATCCATTCATCTGTGGAAACAAGGAATCTGTTATGAATTCACTTGACCTAACTGTCATCCGGCTTACATGTCCCCATTTGTGGACAAGGATACCCTAGGAACTTCTTTATTGTGTGGACAGGAATTGTGTCTGGCTGCTCATAGCACACACCCAAAATGACAATGACGTGATTTATTTTCTGTCACATTAAAGAATTTCAGGAGTAGAGAGTTCTGGGCCAGTCTGGCACTTCCGTTGTCATGGATGCCTCAGGCTTTCTTCCGCTCCACACACTAAGGTGTGTGACTTCTGTCCTTGAGATTGCCTCAGGCTCACAAAATGGTTGCTGAAGCTTATACCATCGCATGTTTTCCAGGTAGAAAGAAAATATAAGTGGTCAGAGCCACAGGAAGGTACCTCTCTGCTTTAAAGAGCTTTCGTAGAAGCCCCATCCAATACTTCTAACATTTCATTGGCCATCTGCAAGACAGGGTGGGAACTGTATAGTTTTTTCAGCTGGGCATATAACCACCCACAATAATACCGGGCCCTGTTATGAAGTTAGAAAGAAGAATAGGGGCTGTAATACATGCTGTGCGGGCAACTGGAATTCCCTGCCATACTCAGGAACATTCTACTGACCATGTTTCCTACATCTAGCCACCATTTCCTCAGCCAACAAGGGGTGGAGCTGGGACTCTAAAACCCACGTCTGTCTGATTCCACAGCCTGGCCTCCTAACCATTAAGCTACACTGCCTCCCTGTGTAAAATGGAGGCCCAGAGGGAGGATGCACTTTGGTTTCCCCCTGGTGAGTAGGGCTGGCAGACACTGTGCCCCTGGGCCCTAGAGCCTGGCTGCGAGGCCCAGTGAAGAGCCAGGGGACACAGCAAAACAGGCCCGGGGTCCCACCTTCCAGAACTTGTGCTCTGACATCCCACAGCCAGTCTAAGCCCTGGGTTCTGGGGATAGCTCAAACCACGACAGAAGGCGGCCAGGCGATCCTAGACAGGAAATAGCACGCAGGGCTGTGTGCTGGCTGGAGTCCCATTATTCACCAAATCCTTTTACAGGAAATCCCTCCAGCCTGGCTCCAATGAATGGGGGTGGGATGGGAGAGGAGGAATCATTCTGGATATTCAGAGCCTTCCTGGGGAACACACAGCCACTTGACCACTCCATAACCAGCTACCTGTGCACAAAGCAGCGCTGTTTGGCAAAAACTAAAAAGAGGACAAAGGTGCAGCAATAACGGACTATGGTGTGAGCATGCTGTGGAATATTGTACAGCAGTTAAAAAGAGCGAGTCAGGGAGGCTGCTTAGCTCAGGTGGTCCGAGGGCAGGCTCATAACACCAAGGTTGCCGGTTCAATTCCCACATGGGCCAGTGAGCTGCGCCCTCCACAACTAGGTTGAAGACAACAGCTTGACTTGGAGCCGACGGGTCCTGGAAAAACACACTGTTCCCCAATGAAGTTTAAAAAACAACGAGTCAGCAAGATCAACAGTGCACTAATCTGAAATTTCAGAACCTAGATCAAGAAATATATATATGAAACCTGATGAGATTTTGTTTACATCTGTCAATTCCATGTATATAAATTCCTTGATAGTACAGTTTATGTCAGAGTTTTATAGTATTGGCAGCTTTGGATGAATAAATGGCGATATATGTACACTACATTTGCCATTATTTCAACCTCAGAAGTGTAGGAGTGACTGTTTTCTAAGCCTACACTGCCTATAGGAAAAAGTAGTATTTTTTTTTAACCTTGGTTTAAACCCTTTTAAGTCCTGAAATGTTGCATAACTAACTGCTTCTTTTCAAAGAAAGCCTCTTTGAAATCCGGCATGCTTAACCGATTCCATTTCTTTTTGTGTTATGGGCACATTAAAATGTTTCCTCTCCTCATTCATAGCAGGTAGGATAAACTAAACAACAGTTGCCTTGACCGGTGTTATTCCATGTCAATTATTACTTCATCATAATGCTAGAGTGATAACATGAGTATCTTTTCTCCAATATGTTTTAAAATAAGTTCTGAGGAGAAAGTGATGTAATTTCATCATTAAACATCTATCTGCACCTCCTGCCAGTATATCTTTCATCCCCCAGTTAAAATGATCCTCTATGATTGAAATGGATGAACACAAATCATCCATGACCAACTACGAGTCAGCAAAATACATCCTGACATGAAGTGCTCTAAGATATGTTGCTGAATGAAAAAAGAGCAAGCTGCAGGCTGGGACATGCACGTGCCGTACTGTTACCTCATTTACACTATGTGTTTTCTAAGGAGACATGTTGACGTGAATGCATGGGCCAGGTCTGGAAGGACACGTGACAACCTAACAATAGCTATTACCTTTGAAGAGGGCTTGCTTGCGGGGCCTTCAGCTTTCTAATGTTTCCATTTCTTACAAAGAGAATGTATTCATTATGCAATTTGTAAAGCTAAAAGTTAATTTTTAAAAACAGCCATAAAAATACGACAAGGCCATAGTTTCTACTTCAGGGTGATACCAGCTAATCTATTCCTGTGTCGCCGCCTTGACTTTCACTTATTAGCTACAGAGTTTTTTGGTTTTTTTATGTCCCACTTCTGCTCAAAAGTCAGTTTGACTCCCCACTGCCTTGGGAACACGATCCAACTTCTTAGTGTGGCACCACCCACGGTGTGCTCTCGCCCTCCCCATCACTACCTGCACACTGTTCCTGACGCACCGTGGGAAGTTCCACGGCCAGTCCTTTGCTTGTGCCGGTCCCACATCCAGGATGCTCTCTACCTGCCTCTCTCCTGATGCAAGTCCTACTCATGGTTCCAGGCCCAGCTGTGACCTCTCCCGCTCTGTGGCCAAACTCTGCTGCAGTCCCCAGCCCTCAGGAGATCCTTAGCCGTTATTCGGAAGATCACAAAGGACACTGACGCCTCCTTTAAACTGCAATTACTGCTGAGAAGTGAGGGCTTTGACTTTATAAACTTTACCACGTCCAAGTTTATACTATGAGACTAAAATGTCCTGTGAGTACATATAGGATTATTATTCCTGTGCTATAGAGCAAAGGGCTCAGACAGGTTACGGGTTCTGCCCAAGGGGCCTTCTAATTATATAATGGCCTGTTCACGCATCTCTCCCACAAACCTGAAATCTCACGAAAGCAGAGACCACAACTCACTTGATCACCCTGGTGGGCCTGACATTTTCCAGTTGCTAAGTAAATATGAATTAAATGAATGTCTACAAGCATCTTGAAATGTGAGTACCTACTTTATAAAATGATAGCACCCAACATTGAGCCCACTTACCAGGTCCATGCTAAGGGGTTCCATGGATGGTGCCACCTAGTACCAGCAACCATCCTAGGTGGTGGGTATTCTGCATTATTGCTGAAGATGAGGAAACCTGAGCCTCAGAGCAGTTAAGTCATTTGCCCAAAGTCACACAGCAAACGAAAAGGGTCTGACTCTGGCCTGCTTGGGGGGAACAATTAATTTCATCCCCATTAATTGTTCTTCTCCAAGCTGCTCTGTTCTGTTTTTTTTCAGGAACAGAAATTAACCGTGGGCAGCAAGATGGCTTTCTGAGTGTCACTCAGCGAATCAGCAAGTGCAGATTCACAAGAACCCAGGGAGGGCCCAACTGTATGTCTCTTTCCCACCCCCATCACTGTTCGCAGGTCCCTCCGGACCTGTCTTGACGCCTTACAAGAAGAACATGTGTAGGCACTGGGTGGAAGTTACCGGGCAGAGCCCCCCAGGGACTGGTGATGAGAGAGGCGGCCACTCATCACAGGGGTCCATGAGTCACTTGAGGGACAGCCTAGCCGGCCCTAGACGATGGCACTGCCCACTGCTGTCGGACTCCTGGGCACTCACCCAGCGCCGCCGTGGACCGGGGTGGGGTGGGTGGGTACCCGGTGAGAAGCTTAGCAGCTCCATCCAGATGCGAATTGTCCCTCCCACACTTCCCGGGCTGCAGGGGCCTCCATTAGAGCCCCTGAGGAGTCAGAATCCACACCTTCGCAAATGGGGCCCGCTTTCCCAGGGCCCCCCTGCCCAGACCTTCCCTGGGCTCTGTGGGTTTTGACACCTCTCTGTAACCTGGCGGGGGGCCACCTCACACCTTTGGTCCAGATAAAAGCTCAGGCCCGGAGGTGGCCGGCCCAGCCTCCCAGAGCCCTCAGCCCGGCCATGGCTCAGTCCCCTTCCCGGCAGAGCCTCGACTACTGGATCTTACCTCAAGGCTGGGGCTGGGCCGGCCCCTCGGACTCCACGTCCCCAGCCTCCTCCTCCTCGGATTCGTCGGGCTCGTGCCCCTGCGACGGCGCCCGCGGTCCCTCGCGGCCCGCACTCCCGGCTCGCGGCGCCCGCGCCGCCGAGGCCGCACAGACGGCGCCGGGACGAGCACGGCCGGGACCCGCCGGCGGGCAGCGGCAGAGCGCCAGCGAGCGCGAGAAGCTGCGCATGCGCACGCTCGCCCGCGCCCTGCACGAGCTGCGCCGCTACCTGCCGCCGTCGGTGGCGCCGGCCGGCCAGAGCCTGACCAAGATCGAGACGCTGCGCCTGGCCATCCGCTACATCGGCCATCTGTCGGCTGTGCTGGGCCTCAGCGAGGAGAACCTGCAGCGCCGGCGCCGGCGACACGGCGAAGCGGTGCCCGCACGGGGCTGCCCGCTCTGCCCCGACAGCGGCCCCGCTCAGGCGACGCATCCGCGCGGCCCGGGCCCGGGCCCAGCCGCCCCCGCCGCGGGGTCCTGGGCGTCCTCGCCTGCCTGCCCCGGAGCCCAGGCGGCGCCCGAGCGCTTGGGGAGCAGGGTCCCTGACGTGGGTCTCCGGGTGACACCCCCTTATTGCCCCAGGATGCAGTCGCTCCCGCAAGTATCCCAAGGGAGAGCCTCGGACGCGGCCCTTTGGACGCTGCCCCCAACCCGTTCCGGAACGCAGACATCCCCACAGCCCGGGAATCAGGGCACGCCCTGGACGCCGCCTCCCGCGGCCCCGGAGCTGGCTGCCGCGTACCAGGTACCGAGGTCCTCCCCGCTTCTCTGGGGGTGGTCCCTAGGCTTAAACTGGAAATGGACGGGATGGGTAGGCTGTAATCTGCAGATAATCCCATGCTCTTTAGATTCCCGTTATCTAATCCAACCCCAATGCCGGGTGGAGAGAAACTGAAGGGAGGATGGAAAGGATGCTAACCTCCTTGGGAAAAAGAGATGGGGCCCTGGGGAGTGAAGGCCACCTCCACCCTCACTTAGACGTCTTCAAAGCCCCGCTCCTTCAAAGACTTGCTCCTTCCACTATGGCCTCTGGAGCTGGCACGGGCCACTGTCAAGAAATTGGTTCCAAGTGCTCCAGTAAGGGTTGGGGGACGGGAGGGAGGCCCTATGGCCCCAGGGTTAGGGGCTTCCAGACAAGATTGGCTTTGAGCTGGTGACCACAAGAGAGCCAATTAATAACCAAAATTTACTGTGTTCTCAACACCGTTCCTGGCACTTTACATGCATTGACTCATTCAGCCCTCCAGCAACCCTGTGAAGCAGGGATTATCATCCCCGTTTTACAGATGAGAAAACTGAGACTCAAAGAGGTTATCTGAGTTCTCAGAGATAGCGAGTAGCAGAGCTGGGATTTGAACCCTGGCGGTGTGTCTCCAGAGCAGGTACTCTTAACCACTTTGCCTCCCTGCATTTGTAGCGCCAGGGCTATGCGGAGCTGCCAGCCACACTCGGACGCGCAACCAGGTTCGAGATCTCAGGACATCAGGCAGTGGCCCACTAACCAGCTGCTCTCGTCTCTTTTGCAGGGTATCCCTGTGTCTCCAGAGTCCTATCTGTTGCCAGAAACCCCACCCCTCCTGCCACGCTCAGCATGCCAGAGACTCCAGCCTCAGACCCAGTGGGGATACTGGAGCCACAGCGCAGAGATGCTCCCTGGCTCGGAGGACCAGGGACCGGGCCCCACCCTCCAGTTTAGGGATGAAAGCCCTCCCCAGAGCTCAGGCCTGCAGCTCAGTGGCTGCCCTGAACTTTGGCAAGAAGATTTGGAGGGGGGCCACCTGGGCATCTTCTACTAAAGGCTTTACCTGACCCCCTTTCAGCTGTAGTGTGGGCACCCTCCTCATTTGCGATGTCAGTGGTTTTCAAACTTTCCTTTGGCCAAAGATCCCTTTCCCAAGTGATATCTTTCATGGAAGCAGTGTTTGAAATAGTTGGTGGTCCCCCTGGCTGGAGTTGGGGCTGGGGCAGTGCCTTCTGCTCCTAGGCACCCCCCAGGGAAACCTGCAGAGCACAGCCGGAGCTGCAGCAAGACAGTAGCTGCTTGACCATGAAGTTGGCAGGGCTGGGAGCGGTGGGGGAATGGGTTCAGGGTGGGGGGAGGGCAGAAGCCTGTATGCTTTGATTTTGCTTCTTTAAAAAAAAAAGAGACAACAGAAATTTGGTTTGGTCTGTTTTTCTTCTATCAACCTGCGTTTTATGGTCTCTGGGAAAGGAAAAATGTCCCCACCCTGTGGGAAGGAAGTCATGCTGCTCTTCCCACCCCAAATCCAAGCCTACCAAGGTTGACGTGGGCCTTCACTTGCCAGTTGGACCATTTTTATTGTGCAGGGGCTCCACCTGGCCTGCTGTGCAAGGTGGCACAGGTGGTTCGACGCTTGGACCTGTTCACATGCCTCAGGCCCATCACCGTTGCCCCTTCCCATTCTCCTGGGTGCATCCCTGCTGGCTCACAGGGCTCCTTCACAATTATGTGACACTTTTCAAAGGATGCCTGAGTGGCTCCCACATACTAGGCCAGTGTATTAGTTTGCTTGGACTGCCCCGACAGAATACCACAAATTGGGTGACTTAACAACAGAAATTTGTTTTCTCACAGTTCTGGAAGCTAGAAGTCCGAGGTCAAGGTTGTCAGTAGGTGTGGTTTCTTCTGAGGCCTCTCCTTGGCTTACAGAGGGCTACCTTCTCACTATAGCCTCACATGGTCACCCCTTGGTCTGTGTCTGTGTCTTAATCTTCTCTTTCTATAAGGATACCAGTTATGTGGGATTAGGGCCCATGCATATGACCTCATTTCACTGTAGTTACCTCTACAGGTGCTCTCTACCCCCAAGCTGGGTATAGACTTCAGGGCCCTGACTCCCTGTCTAGTGCTCTTTCCTTCCCAAGAAACCCCAGAAAACTTAGGATCTTGGCTCTAGTCATGGCATCTGCACCCAAGGCAGAACTGAACAACTGCCCATCTCTCCTTTGGGCGGGAGCCTGGGGTTAGTCTTACAGGGACAGAGAGAGGTATCCCTGGTCCAGTCACTGATGACCATGCTCCCCCAGTTCTGAAGCCCTGCAAGGGCTGGAGTGGAGCCCAGGAGAGTCCTGGCCTTCACCCCTGGCAGCCAGCGCATCTTCCAGAATTTGGCAGCCTTATTCTCCCAGCTCCCTTCAATAGGTACATCTCTAGGAGGTGCCAAGGCAGAAGTGAGAGGCCGCCACTACCACAGCTGGAGATCCCTGGGAGACCCTACATGCTACTGGAGCAAGGGGAGCAGGGCTCAGGGGAGTTGGGGTAATCCCCATCCCTGTCCTGACCCTCCGGGAGGAAGCCTCAGCCCCTTGCCCCCATCCATCTGTTCTGGTCCATGGCTGCACCTCTCTGCTAAGTGACTGGCAGGGAAGGGTGAGAGGCTAATGCCGGTGCCTTGCCTGGGATGACTGCTCTACCCATACCTTGGGGACTCTAGTCACCATCTGTAAGACTGGACTTTTGCTGAGTGCCTCTCCCAGGCCTTTCAGTGACCCCGCTGTGTAGAGGACATGCCTCCTGAGGAGCCTCCTGGAGGGTGGCGAGTTAGGAGAGGGCACTGCACCCCAGCTGCTTCTTGCTGATCCTCGGATTCTGCCTTTCCCCAGGGCCTTGAGCGCTGGACAGGCAGTGAGCAGCCTGGGTTCTCCTGGGCTCCTGCTCGGTGTGCGACCTCGAGCAAGGCTCGGCAGGCAGGTCTCTGGCTCTGTGTGTCCTTGCTGCAGTGCGGGAACCAGTTTCCTCCAGCCACACGGGGCCTTGCGTTGTAAGCAGTCAAGTGGCCCAGCACGTAATGTGTTTGTCACAGACCCTGCTCTAGCTCCAAATGGAGACCAGCTCCACTCATGTAGGAGCATGTGAGCCAGCTCTACTGAGTCCTGAGTTAACTTCCCTGAGCCTGTTTCCTTCCCTGAGCCTGTTTCCTTATCAGCAAAACTGAGATGATAGACTGTCCTTATCTCCTGGGACTGGTGAGAACCAACTGAGATAATGCGCATAAGCATAAACGCTTAGCCCAGTGCCAGGCACAGAGACTACTAGGATCCTTGCTGACTCTTCTCCCTGGAGACCAACTCTCTCCCCCAGGGACACTAGATGGTGGGGCTGACCCCTCCCCCAGCAGGAACCACCTGAGGGGGCCTGCACTCTGGTCCCCAGGTCAAGTGCCAGCCACTGCTGCTGGGCACTGGCGTCAGGAAGGGCTAGCCAAGAGGGGCTGGGCTGAGGGCTGGAGAGACCTGACTGGCGGGGGACCTCACAGGGCTGGCCCCACCCCACCCTTTGATGTGCAGACACCAGTAGAACACAGGGGGAGCCTTTCTACCTATCCAAGGGGAAGAGGCTGTGAGGGCAGAAGGTGGGTGGGGGCTTGAGCCAGAAGACAGGGCTGAGGACCATCATAACAGCCAGCTTTCCTTACCTATCAGGCCAATGGGTAAGTAGAAGACTCCTTCGATCCACACACCAACCGTAGGATCAATGTCTTTATGGTGCAGATGAGAAAACGGAAGTCCAGGGGTTTCGGTCACTTGTCCAAGAAACAGTGGCTGAGCCATGATCTGAAACCAGGCCTCAGGACTCCAAAGTGCCAGCCCCAGGGGCTCACTGTGTCAGGTGGAGCCCTGCAGTTGGCTGTCTGTGACCTCCCTCTCTAGCTCCCACCAGCCTCAGATGCTCAACTAGGCCTCACGGGGCTGGGGGCAAGGTGAGCTTCAAACCATGTCCTGCTGCCTGCCCTCCACCGCCCCATGGTTCCCCAGCATCCAGCATCTCAAGCCTGCCACGAGAATTCGGATGAAACGAACACTGTGGGCGGGCACCGCACACAGGTGTTCTGTAGGAAAGACCAGCAGGAGGGCGCTTCTCCCCTCCCAGACCCCCCCAGTGCTGCCCATACACCCCAGCTTCCTTCCATCCCCGTCTCCCCAGCTGTGGTGCAGACCCATTCCTTCTCTGGTTTAGTAATGAGTCTGGAAGCTCATCTAGAAATCCTTTATCTACATTTTCTCTTATTATAGAAAAAAAATATACAGATCTGGTATCCTATGGAGTCCCCAGTTTCAGGGTCTTTTTGGGAAGGCGACAGAGGGCGCAGAGCAGCCCCCCCAAGGCCATTCATAGTCCATTGAGGGCTTCTGCTCATCTGGCACTGGAGCTGGGCTTCCCTGAGATCATCCCCGGGGCCCTGGGCGACAGGAGTCATGCCAGGCCTGGGGTGGGGTTGGCACGAGGGCAGGGGTGGGAAGTGCTTGCACAGTCTGGCCATCAGGAGCTGGATTGGCCCCACAGGCAGAGTGGAGAGAACGTGGGTCAGAGACTTGGTCCCTGAAGGGAGTACGCTGGTGTCTTGGGCTCCAGGAATGGGGGCCCAGGCATGGGCCCCGGGACAGATGCATCTGGGCATCTCACGTGGGGGCCGGCGACTATTAGCTGTTGTCTGTGAACCACTTGAGCACCAACTCCTGGTTTTCCTTCACCCATTTGATGTTGGCTTTGGTCTTCTCCAGGGCTTGCTCCAGGGCCCGGGTGGCTGAGCCGAAGCCTGTGGCCATGTTGTTATTCTTAAACTGCTCCAGCTGGCAAGAAAAGGAAGATCCTCAGTGCCAGGCTGAGTCTTCAATGCCCAGTCCTCTGTCCTCCCACTCCAGGTTAATCACCCGGCACCCCAATGGGGACCATAGCCTGTTCTTCAGGACAGCAAGTACCAGTCCTTCCCTCCTCCCTGGGGCAAAATCCTTATCTAGATTAGAAAGGACAGCCTCAGAGTAAAATCGGCTCCTGTACTTATTTAGCCTCCATTGCTTTTTCCTCAAGTCGACCCCCAGTTTTTAACTGAATTACAAATCTCAATTAAATCAAGGGAGGACAGAGGGACAAATGAAACAGACACCACCAGGAAGCAACCAGCCAAATTCAAACTGTGGCCATTTCCCTACTACAAATGATCCAGTTGCTTCAACAAATAAATGGTATTTTTTTATAAAAAGAGATGGCACAGATTAAAAGATGGATTAGTTCTAGAGGTTGTAGCTGGGGCAATTAGATAAGAAAGGAAGAAGTAAAACCATCTCTAGTTGCAAATGACATGATTTCTGTACAGAAAATCCTAAGAGATCACAAAAACAAAAAAAAGAAAGAAAAAAAATTAAAGCTGACGAGTTCGGCAAGGTTGCAGGATACAAGATCAATATATAAAAATCAATTGTATGTCTACACAATAGCAGTGAAGACTCTGAAAATGAAATTAAGAAAAACAGTTTCATTTACAATAGCACCCAAAAGAATAAAACAATTAGAAATAACTTTGACGAAAGAAGCACAAGACTGGTATGTTGAGAACTACAAAACATTGGTGAAAGAAAGTAAGAAGACCTAAATAAAAGAAAAACATAAATACCGGTAAATGTGTTAGCAGATTGGAAGATTTAATATTATTAACACGGCAATACTCCCCCAAAATCTACAGATTCAATGTCATCCCGATCAAAGTTCTAGTGGCCCTTTTTTGCAGAAATTGGCAAGCTGATCCTAAAAGTCATAAAGAAAATGCAAGGGACCCGGAGGGGCCAACTCATCGTGACAAAGAACAAAGCTGGAGGACTCACATTCCTGATTTTAAAATTCACTGCAAAGCTACAGTAATCAAGACAGAGTGGTACCGGCCTAGGGGCAGACAGATCAATGAAATAGAATTGAGAGAGTCCAGAAACAAACCCTCACATTTACAGTCAGTTGATTTTCAACAAGGGTGCCAAGACCAATCAATGGGGGAAAAAATAGCATTCAACAAATGGTGCTCGGGCAACTGAATAGCCACATGCAAAGGAATGGAACTGGGTCCCTGTTTTACACCATATATAAATTAAGTAAAAACTGATCTAAGTCCTAAATGTAAGAGCTAAAATGAGAAGACTCTTAGTAAAAAGCATGTATTTCTAAGTGACTTTGGATTAGGCAATTGTTTCTTAGCTACAATACCTAAAGCACAAGCAACAACAACAGAAAAAAGAAAGTTGGACTTCATCAAAATAAAAAACATTTGTGTATCCAAAGATACTACCAAGAAAATAAAAAGACAATCCACAGGATGGGAGAATATATTTGCAAATCATGTATCTAATAAGAGCATAGTATCCAGGATATATAAAGAAATCTTACAACTCAACAATAAAAAGATAAATATCCCAATTTAAAAATGGGTGAAGGGTTTGAATAGATATGGCTCCAAAGATGATATACAAATGGCCTATAAGCCCATGAAAAGATGCCTGACATCATTAGTCCTCAGAGAAATGCATATCAAAACCACAATGAGGAGCGGTGGGTTAGCTCAGGTGGTTAGAGCTCAGTCAGTGCTCATAACACCAAGGTTGCCGGTTTGATCCCCACACAGGCCACTGAGATACGGCCCTCCACAACTAGCTTGAAACAACTACTTGACTTGGAGCTGACGGATCCTGGAAAAACACACTGTTCCCCAATAAAATGAAAGAAAAGAAAAGAAAAGAAAAGAAAGAAAGAAAGAAAGAAAGAAAGAAAGAAAGAAAGAAAGAAAGAAAGAAAGAAAGAAAGAAAGAAAGAAAACGAAAGAAAGAAAGAAAGAAAAACATAATGAGACACCACTTCACACTCACTAGGAGGGCTAGAATAAAAGAAAAGGAAAATAACAAATATCCACAAAGACATAAAGAAATTGGAACCCTTATACATTTGCTGGTGGGGATGGAAACTGGTGCAGTTGCTTTAGAAAACATTTTGGCAGTTTCTCAAAAAGTTAAGCACAGAACTGCCAAATGACTTAGTAATTTCACTCCTAGAAGTATACCCAAGAGAAATGAAACCGTATGGGCACTGCAAAATTTGTGCATGAGTGCTTATAACAGTGTTATTTGTAAAAACCCAAAGGTGGAAACCACCCAAATGTTTATCAACTGATCAATGGGTAAACAAGATGTTTTTAGCAATACAATGGAATATGGTCATAGATAAACCTTGAGAATATTATGCTAAGTGAAAGAAGGCAGACATAAAAGGCCACAGGTTGTATGGTTCCATTATATGAAATATACAGAATAGGTAAATCCATAGAGACAAAAAGCAGATTAGTGGCGGTCTGGGGCTGGGGGCAGGGGATTGGGGGGTGACTGCTAATAGGTATGGGGTTTCTTTTAGGGGTATTAAAAAAGTTCTGGAATTAGATGATGGTGAAGGTTGTACAACCTTGTAAATATACTAAAAACCACTTAAAATGGTGAATTTTGTGATACCTGAATTATATCTCAGTGTAAAAAACAGAAAAAGACAAATCAACCTTATGCAATGAGTTAACTTTGGCTTCTAATTCAAACATATGTATCAATTGCACAAAGAATTTTTTAAAAAGCTTGGAGAATTTGAAAGTGGCCTGGGTATAAGATGATTGTTATTTTTCTTGGGTTTGCTAATGACAGTGAGATTATGTTTTAAAAATTCCTTTATTTTAGATATAACTAAAGTATTTAGAGGTGAAATTATGTAATATCAGTGATTTGCTTGAAAATTGTCCACCCCAAAAAAGTGTCTACAAAATGTTGATAATTATTCAATCTGGGGAATGGGTACACAGCAGTTCATGATATTATTCTTTCTTTGCCTGTACAGAGACCAAGATGAACTTTTTGGATTGAACTGTCGCCATTTAAAAAGTCCGAACAGCCAGCTTCTCTCATTAACTGACGGAGGCCTGGCACCATGGAGCCCACTCTCCCTGTGACCATACTTGGTGGCAGCTGAAAGGTGGCCGCCCCCTTAGACTGGGGGTGGGCCCAGGGTCGAGGGCTTCTTACCTGCTTCAGCTCATGCTCAGAGGAGAATCGTCGGGTCACTGCCTGAATGAGGTTGGAGAAGGAGAAGGATCCACCACCGTAACTGCAGGGTGGAGAGAGATGAACTGTGAGGGGGCAGGAACTAATAATGCTCTGTGACTGACAGACGACACTGTATCCTCATAAGTACCCTATGCTTGGCCCCATCTTGTAGACGAGATGAAATGACATGCTTACGGAGGCACACCTTGGGACCTGAACACAGGTTTCACTACAGTGTCCTTGTTCCCACTTCTCCAGAAATCACTCCCACCAGTCAGGCTTTCTTTCCCCCGTAGGAAAAGGGACGGCCCATATTCTGGATGGTCTTTCAATTCCTCTCCCCCCGCCCCCCGCCCCCGGACCCAACCTCAAGCTGGGTTCATTTTTGACCACTCCTATGCAGTGCTCACCCCCCACTCCCAACCCTGTAGTGTCCCTGGCACACAGATGACCCTCAGGGCACCCCTGACATGCTCCCAGCAGACTCACTCATTAAAGAGCTTCTCCCAGTTGCTCTGAACAAAGTCCCAGGCCAGAGTGTGCCCAAGGACGTTGCTGGCGATACTGCTGATAGTGGAGGTAGCATCCTGCTTCCGGATTAAGTCAGGGTTCAGGGTGTAACTCAGGTACCTGTGAGGACAGGGTGCTGCGTTGGTAACCACTTGCAAGGGCTGCAGTCAGATGACTGACAGAGAATCCAGGCTGGCAAAGGATCCCGCCCTCCCACCTACGCCTCTTCTGCATCCTTTCCACCTCCCTTTGGCATGCTGGGGCTCAAGACCCCTTGGTCTGGCCTCCCTCTTGTAGATGGGACACTGAATCCCCTAAGCAGGGTCATCAGCTATGCATGCCCGGTGTCATGCCGGACATGGTCCTGGTGCGTGACAAATATCTGATGGGGAAGGAAGGAAGGAAGGAAAGAGACTACAGCCACGAGCCCTGCACCAGGTAGGGTGGCCACTCCTGTCTTTGACTTTGAGGGTGGCCTTTCCAGGAGATGGCATATGATGCACACAGTGGGAGCCAGGAGCCCTTATCAAGGGGGCTGCACAGCTGGAAGTTCAGTAGGACTCAGGCCCAGCTGCGTCACAACCCTTGAAGAGAAGGAAACTGAATCCCTGACGTCAAGGCTGAGAGGATGTGGGCCCGGACCTGGGTTCGAATCTTGGCTCTATCACTTATTAAAGCTTCCGGACACTGGACAAGTTGCTTTGCTTCTCTGAGTCTCAGTGTCATCATCTACAAAATGGGAACATCCTACCCCACTGCACAGGTTCGAACACCCCGTGAACGACAGCGTAGAGGCACCTGTGAGGCTGGTCATTCTGCCCCACTTTGGGATCCTGGTCCCCAGTGGGGAGGGGAACTCATTCAACCCTACCAGCCAGTCCTCACCTGTTCAGGATCCAGACCTGCTTGCTACAGGCCAGGGCTGCTCGGAGCTTGTCAGCTTCGTTTACCAAGGTGGCTTTTTTGAACTGCTCCCAGGCGAAGTTCCACTCTTTCTCGCCACCCTCGGCAATGGCATTGCAGTAGACAGTGGACCGCAAGTTGGGGTGGATCCTGGCATGGGGTGGGGGTGTCAGGGGTGGAGCAGTAGCAGGGAGGGTGGGAGCAGGCTCTGATGAGGACAGTGCTGTGGGCTTGAGGGACAGATGAACACTGGGGAGGAGCAGGGGACACACTCACGGGTTATTATCAGGGTCACTCATCCAATCGGCGAAAAGTTTCGAGACCAGCTGCTGGCACTCAGGAACCCCACTGGAGCAGGCGGTGCTGATGGCGTTAACCTCGTTGTATCTGCCCCAGGGGGACATTTGGTCAGCTGCCTGGCCCAGACTTTAGCAAAGACTCCCCAGCTCATACTCAACTGCAGGCAGGAAGGCCGGGCTGGGGTGCTAAGGATGCAGCCTACCCTACCCTCTGGGTTCCCCTCTTTGCTTTGTGCCTTTGGCAGCCTGGGGACCCAGAGGGGCCGGCACAGGGTCCAGCGCCAGCTTCAATGCCTAGAATCTGACCCAGGTCGGTGAGGGGACCTCAGAGTTTCAGTGTGGTCCTTTGTGCAAAGAGGCCAGATGGGCTCACAGGCCCCATGGTGCCTCCAGCAGGGCCTCCGGCTCCTAGGTGGGGGGTCACTCTCTGCCTGGTGGCCCTAGTCAGGCCAGGAGGTGGGAGCTCCAGAAGGGGACACAGCCGGGGTGTTGCTCTAGATTGCCCAGGTCAGGGTGGTAGGGCGCCGCACGACCTCCAGACCCAGGAGAGGTCATACTCACTGGTCCATTAGCTTTTCTGGGCGCTGAGTCCAGTTTTGGGTAACACTTTGGAAATGATTGAAGAGGGGCGTGACCTGTTTCTTCAGGTAGTTCTGGGGGAAACAAAACATGAGTAGCTTCAAAGGGGAGGTTCAAGCCTGACCTGCCTGGAGGCCCACGGAGCCTGCGATGTGGATGACGAGGTGCAGCAAGGACTCACGTCTCCAGAGGCAAAGAGGCCAGAGGCTGGGGGCCTCGCCCAAGGCCAGGCAGAGCTCAACGGGGCCAGCGGCTAGTCTGGGTTTCAGATGATGGATTGGAGGCACTTTCTCCTTAAAGCCTCATCAATTCTAGCATTCTAAGTGTCATCCTTTCTTCATGTAGGGTTGGGTCCCACCAACCCCCACCGCCTGTTCCTAAGTATTCTGTATTTATTGTGAGGAATTTATAAAACACAAAAAAACAGATGCAGAAAATAACCACCACCTCAGGAGCTTACCAAAACTATGATTTCCAAGTTGACCCACTTCCCCCTTCTTTTTTTTCTTTTCTACCTCGCGTATCTACAATTCTGCACTCTGCACTTTTTACCTGGCTTTGTAACGTTAGCCCCACCCATGTTATTAAAGTCCTTTGCAGACTCTGGTTCAACACGGTACTCATCTGTCGTGTGCGCCAACCGGAATCCACATCCAAACGTAAAAGGAATAAACCCCCAAGAAAAAAGAAAACAGGAAAGGAAAGAGCGGTGGGTAAGGGGTCCACACAGTTTAGGAGCTGGAAGGCAGAGAAGGGCAGGTGTCACAGGCTTTCGAGAGTGGGAGGGTGTACATCAGGGAAGCTGCCTGCCAGGGGAGGTGGAGACAGAAGCAAGGAGACTTGCTGTGGTAGGCTCGGCATTAGAGGGACGGGTGTGTGGGGGACAGGAGTGAGGCAGGGGCTGGAAACAGGGCAATGGAGTCCAAGTTTGCAGAACGAATAATGAAAGCCACAGCCCTCACTTCCCTTCTTGCAGCAGGCCGCACCCCCCACAGGGGTGAGGCTGAATCAAAGGGGCCCAGAAGTGGGGGGTCACCGGACACAGTGGGAGGAGGACCAGAGGTAAAAGTTTACGTACTGAATGGAGGTGCCCCCAGTTGCCTTCCCCACTCTGATTCCAGACAGCACCGCCAGACTCATTATATAAGAGAGAGGGTAATGCTCTGAAAACTGAATGGGCTCAAGGAAACACACTCATGGATATGATTTCTGAGGGTCCCCATGAAGTCACTTGGCCACCTAGTCACCCCACAACAAGACCCTCAGGCGACACACCTCCACCTCCTCACAGAGGTTCCAATCACTTTTTATTGTCTTACTCTCAATTCCAAAGGAGCAGCTCAGCCTCTAACTTGACAAAAACCAACAGAAGACACAGAGGAAACAAGTCAATGGAAGAAAAAGAAAACTTCGGGAAAGCCTGTGACGAATATCCTCTGAGAGTTCACAGAAGTTACTGCCCAGGATGCTGGAGCTAGGAACAGCCCTTGGAAGTTTAAAAGTATGATAGAAGAAACGAACACAATCTGTAGAGGAGAGCTGGTGTGCTACCCCGAGGGCAGATCCCAGAGGGTAGAAGAAAGTCAAAACTCTGGAACACAGAAGAGAGAAGAAAACGGGAAGACCAGTGCAGGAGCGGTAAATTGGATTAACAGGGGTCCCAGAAAAAGAAACTCTTAAAAAAAATAAAAAAGAAAGAAAGGAAAAAAGGAAAGGAAGAACGTTTAAAGGAGCAATGCAAAAATGTCTGGAGGGCCGGCCGAGTGGCTCAGTTGGTTAAGAGCTCGCTCAAGAGTTTGAGCTCTGAGCAACAGCGGTTCGATGCCAGCCCAAGCTGAGCAGCCGCTAAGCTACCAATAGGTAGCAGGATGGCTCAGCTAAAAAAAAAATAATAATAATAAAAAAATAAATGTCTGGAATGAAAGAGTAGAGGGATGAGAAAGGTCCACCAGGATTGAGAAAAGAGCCCACAAGCTTCCAGAAGGGGAAACTGGCCACATTCAAAGGACTGGAAATGAGAAAGGCTCTGGGCTTCTCAACAGCTCCGGGCTTCTTCTATTTGACATCGGTGGAGCAAGACTTGACATTTTCTGAGGAATAATTTCCAACCCAGAAACTTCTAAACCCAGGTAAATTCTCAATCCAATGTGGAGGCGGATCATTTACCCCAGAACACCACCTCTTATGAACCCCGTCTCAAAATCTGGAAGGGTAAAAGGGGTCAAATATATGGTGACAGAAGGAGAACTGACTCTGGGTGGTGAACACACAATATGATCTATGGATGATGTATTATAGTATTGTGCGCTTGAAACCTATGTAATTTTACTAACCTCTGACACCCCAATAAATTTAATTAGAAAAAAAAGCAAAAAGCTCCCAGAAGACGTCCTCCCCTATGAGTGAAAAAACTAAAGGAAGAACCCAATGGGCTCAAAGAACAAGAGTGCCTCTCAACATGGGAGATGAGCGGGGTTCTAGAAGAAAGCAGGAGGTTCCTCCAGCAAAAAGGAAAACTTCTGTATTATCTGATATATTTAATACAAGATGGAGAAAGAAAGGGAACATAAGCATAGTACTCTATGTGGCTCAGCAGACAATGTTAGTTAAATAATCACAACAAAGTTAATGCTAAATACTGAGTTGACCCAATATTGTGATTGAACCGCATTAGAAGGATGGGCTGAATCCAAGGTAGGAAGGTTAATGAACTAAAATGAATTAAACTCATTAATCATAATAACTCATTTACCATGATAGGAAGTTAACCGTGTGAACAATTTTTAATAAAAAGACGATCTCTTCAAGTATGATCTAATGGCCACGTAATATTCCATCAAACGGATGTCCTACTTAACTAATCCCCAACTATTGGACATTTAAGTGTTTTGGGTTTTTTTTCGTCTTTTATAAATCACACTGCAATGAACATCTTTACGGAGCCAGCTTTTCCCTCTGGTCGCCCTAGTGGGAGCCTCAGCGCCCCATGACTCAAAGCTAATAACACCTGCATCTCCCTCCACTTTCACCCCGTGGGCAGGCTAGGCAGCTACAGGCCTGCTATTTCCCAGATGGATTCACTGGGGCTGACGGTGGGGTCCACCAAGGCCACCTAGCTGGGGAAACACAGGCCTCCTGCTCCCAGCACAGCGCCTTTTTCTGTGCCTTCTGAAAGTGCCAACTTCCAAGTCGCAAACTTTGCTGGAAGTCTGTCCTTGCCTTGCCTCGCCCAACCGGCTCGCCTTCTCAGTCCCTGCTCCCTTCACCCCTAAACCTCCTGCTCTGACCAAGGACCTGGTGTGTGTCAGCCTAGAGCGATTAAGGCCCTCCAGGCAGTATTTCCACTAACTTCCTCACACCCTGCCAGCCATGCCCCTCCGTACCTGCATGGGGCCATAGACCTCCGAGCGGTCGAACATGAGCTTGAAGTAGCTCAGACTGCTCAGGGCAGCCTGCCAAGGCATGTACTCTGTCTCTTTGATCAGGAAGAGGGTGTTGTTCAGCGCCAGGGTGACAGGGACCTTGCGGGCACTGGAGGACAAACAGAGGGGTTCACATGAGCAGCCCCACCCAGTCCAACCCCCTCCGGGAGCCTGAAGTCCCAGAGCCCCAACTGAGCCAGCTCCAGTGTTCACCAGGGGTGGGGGGCATCGGTGCTGGGTGGTGGCACAAGGCCAGCCCAGGCCGCGCCCTCACCCGCTGCCCGTCACAATCCCTTGCTTATTACCCCCTTTTTACATATGAAGAAACTGAGGCTTAGAGTGGCCAAGAGACTTGCCTAAGGCCACACAGCCCCTAAGAGATGGAGCTTAGATTCAAGGACAAAAAGGCTGCACTCTTTACTCAGCCTACGTCTTCTCAGATTTGCTTGGCCCTCTGGGCGTTTCTCATGCTATCTGTGCACATGTGTCCATGTCTGTGGGTGACATCACTTGTACCAAAGAGCTCAGCACAACAGGTGCTCGATATTTGTTTCTCCATGCTGTAGCTCGCCTGTCCTGTGTTTCCCAGATCACCTAGCACAGCCGCCTGACATACAGTTAGCCCTCAGGAAAAGACGGGTGCCATGGGAAACAGTGAGGTTTTGGAGTTGGACAGACCTGCGTCTGACTGCCATGGGCCATGTGGCCTCAGGCAAGGTACACAAACTCTGAGTCTCAGATTCCTTATCTGGGAAATGGGCTGTAACACCAACAATCTCAGAGGGCAGGAGGTGGGGGGGGGGAGCAAGAGAGGGGTGCACAGAGCACAGGGAGCCCGCACGCAATGAGGACAACTGGCTCTCACTATGGAAACGCACGCGCTAAAGTCACCAGGCCTTCCCGGGCAGAGCCAGTCTGGGCCTGAGGAGGAAGGGGACACTCACCTGGCCAGGTCAAAGGCGTCGTGGATGACCTGTGCCCGATTGATGACAGGGATGGCCTAGAAGGGGCAACGGAGTGTGTGATCTCAGGATGACCTTGGGCTGAGCCTGGGGCAGGGGACGGGGTGGGGCGGCAGACACGCACCGACAAGTCGTTCTGTAGCTGAGACTGAATCTTCCTCCAGTTGTCCTCGTCGTAGTTCACCTGGTAATAACCCGTCACGTTGAGGTTCAACAGCACCCACTCGTCGTCAGCTGTGGTTTTGAACAGATCACTCTGGGCTGTGGAGAGAGACCAGAGCTAGGGCGAGGCTGCTTGGAAGACCGTGGGCTGACCCTCAGCCCTCCTCTCGCCAGGCTTCAGCAACAGCAGCCTCTGTGCAGCCTGGCACCAGCTGGCCCACAAGCCTCTGGGGCGATGCCAAGGAGAGGGGGTGTAGGCCCGGGCTGCCAGGCCAAACTCTGCCTCTGGCTGGCCGGTGACCTCAGACAGACCACGGGCCATGGCTGAACCTCAGCGCCCGCCCTGCCAAGCACAGAGTCCGTGTGGCCGGGCCAGTGGCAGCTGCTCGGACATCTCTACCCACATACCCCCCAGGCCACTCAGGCTCCAGTCCCCAGGCTGCTGCTCCGCCTCCGCCCCTCCTCCCTTCCTCTCAGCTTGTAACGGCTCCAACACCCCAGTCAGCCAGTGGGAAGCCCAGGCTTCCCGTCCAACTTGCTCCCTCAATGCTGCCTGACTCTTCTGTGGGGTTCAGCGCCCCTCCTTCCCTTCTCTCCCTTGCGCCCTTTCTCCTGGCAGCCAGAGTGGACCCTTCCACCCCTGCAGGCCAGACCCAGTCACGTGCCCACTTCCCACCTGCCCCAGCTCCTCCTGGCCCAAGGACACAGCCATTGTCTGCTGTAGCCTGCAGGGACCTCTACTCGGTCCCCACAGTCTCTCCTGCCTCTATGTCTCGCACTTGCTGTTTCCTCTGCCTGGAATACTCTTCTCTGCCACCATTAGCCTCGCTAACTGCTACTTCTCCTCTAAGACTCAGCTTACTTCCTCCGGGAAGGCTTCCCTGACTTTTCCATAAAGCTGAAGCTCCCTGATCGCCAGCCCCCGTGCTCCAGTAACCCAGAGGCTATACACGCCTCCGTTAAAGCACTCAGCACAGCTCGGGAAAGTTTTCACCCTTCATCTGCAGCCTTGACTGAGGTAGAGGATGACTTGCCTCGACCTTGGTTTTCCTCAGAGCAGAGTAGGGCTGCTCATTCCATGTGCCAGGCACTGTTGTAAGCGTGTTGTGTGGATTCTCTCCTCGAATCCTCACACAACTCAGTGGGGGTAAGAGACTGTTCTTAGCACCATTTTAGAGATGAGGAAACGGATGCCAGAGAGGGGCGGTTACTTGCCCAGAATCACCGAGCGGGGCAGCAGCAGAGTAAAGGTGACGACCAAAGAAGTCGGCTCCCTTTGGTGAGTGACATGATGAAAGAAGCCCTCTCGGAGGCTACCTGGGCCAGGAGCTGAGAGTGTTGGGTGGGGGCTGTTGTCCATGAGGACAGGGCTGCTTACCTTGTTGGACGCTCGGCAGCCAGTACTGCTGCTGCTGTTTACCACTTTTGACAGATGAGATGGAAACAATCCACAGGTAGCTGCAACAAGAGAATCAGAGGCCGGGCGGTGAGAGACGTCAGCTCGTGGCCACTGCCAGCAAAGGGCAGTCCTGCCCAGGCTCCCACTTTCTGCTTGACTCTGACACCAAGAGCCCCATCTTCTTGACCCGAGAGGGAGAGCCTATCTATAGCCACTGGGGCTGGGGCCACAGCAGACCAGACCCTGCTCTGCCCCTCAGAACCCTCACGAGGACGCCTGCCTCGGTGGCCCTGTCTGCTCACTTGAAATCTGAGGGACGGATGTCTGTGGACGAGGAGTCAAGAAGGAAGTGCTCCTGGGAGATGCTCCCCGTCTTGGTGTCCACGGTGATCACGGGGAAGCCCATCTGCAGGATCCAGCGGTCCATGATGTCGCTCACTTTGGAGGGCAGCTGGATCTGTGTCTGGCTGTCTACAGCCTTGGGCAGAGCAAGATGGTGCAGCTGTCAGCGGACCGCCGCCCTCTCGCCCCGCCCATCCAGGGCAGCCCCCGGCAGCCCCCCGCCTCTCCCTGTGGTGTCACCTGCCAGGAGGCAGTGGGGGAGCACTGGACTGGGGGACAGGGATTGGGGCCCAGCCTGGTTCTGTGTTTCCTCGGTTGCCCAGTGCTGGGTGAGCGAGAACTTCCTAGCCTCTGATTTATTCCATATTGATTAATCAAATCTGCGTGGCCCCCCCATTCTGTGGTCCAATCTGAGGTGGGTAGGTATGTCTTGGAGAGGGGGGGCCCAGGATGCCCACTGTTCAGCAGAACAACCCAAGGAGGATGAGAAAGGGGAGGAGACAGAGGTGAGTGAAAATCGTCAGGGCCAGGGAGAAGGCCATGGGCGCCTAGATGGGGTCTGGGGACAGGCTTAGGGTGGTTGTTGCTGTCTTTTTAGGTCTTTTTTCATCTTTTTCCATGCACGTGCATTGCTTTTGTAATAACAACAAAACCCCAACAACCAACAACATCTGTTAATTACTGAGAAAACAAAAACCTAAGAACAGGGCAAGAATGCGGGCAGAAGAGCATGTCAGAGGGTACAAGGCTGAGAGGGGAGGGGAGCTGCGGAGGCTGCAGAGAGAGGGGGCTCAGGGGAAGAGGGAGCAGGGGGACGCGATGAAGCTGCAGGGGTGCCTGGCATGGAGAAGGGCTCAGCTTTGGATGACAGGAGCAGTGAGAAAATGAGGCAGGGCAAGGAAGACAGAGGCAGTGGAGAGGAGGGACAGGGCCCATGAGGTGTCACCTGTCAGTGGGCTGAAGGAGGACGGGGAGGTGGACCAGACTCATGGCAGACAGAACCTGGGCAGGAGGGCACTGGAGCCCGGCTATGACTCTGTGACAAATCATGGGTCTCCCCTCCCTGGTCAGACTGGCCATGGAGCCTGTGTATCTGGGGACTGGAGGGAGCAGCTGGTAGGGAAGCCTGGGGCCTGAGACTCCGGAGGGGTCAGTTGGGCTGAAGGGGGCCTCAGGGAAGGGGTGGGGCTGCTGTGAGGGGGAGGAAGCGATGGGGGGTGATGGGGAACTGGCAGACTCCAAGCCCCGGAGAGGCGAGGGGTGGGGGAGTCAGATGGTTGGCCCCACAGACAGGGGCTGCTGAGTGGACAGGAATGCAAAGCGGGACCACATGGCAGGTCAGTGTGTGCTGAGGATGCTGGTGTGCAAAGTCGTGCTTGGGAGGGACCGGGAGGGCACAGGGCAGCCAAGAGTGCTGAGTCGCATGAACAACCGGCTCCAAAGGTCCAGGGAAGGAGGGCCCGGGCGTGGGAACGGTGGAGGCCCGTTTCCTCCGCACTGAGGTGAGGGGACTCCTCGGCTCCCAACACGGAGCTCACTACAGCGTGAGGCAGGCCACCTGCCTGGGTCTCGACCCATGGTCTCTCACAATGCCTCCTTCAAGGAGCTACCATGCTGCCGAGAACCAGCCAAGCTTCCAGACCGTTGGCCTGGGCTGGGAAGCAGTGTAGCTAGGCACGTTCTCGTACACACGTGCTGCCCTAGGGGCTTCCAGCATCTCAAGACCCCAACAGAATGGCTTCCGGGGGCGGCTGGCTATTCCTTACCTTCTGCAGGTGATCCCACAAGTCCTTGTAGGTGGTGCTCTGGTAGCTAAAGGCATGGAGGTAGGACTGTGGAAAGACAGGCCACGGTGAGGGCAAAGCTGGTATCCCCTGGGGCTCTACCACTCAGCCTCTGTGGTAGGCCAGGACTTGGAGGCAAGGAGCAGGGGCTGGAGAAAAGCCCACCACCCAGGGCTGGCCCAGCACACTCACCGACAGGCCCTTCTTGAACAGGTCCTCAGTCAGGAAGTCGGAGAGCATCCTGAGGACTGAGGCTCCCTGGGGGAGGGAAAGGGGGAGCTCACGAGGCTGTGCTGAGCCAGCAGGAGCCTGTGGCCCCCACTGGGCCGGGACAGGTGCTCCAAACCCTAGCTGCGGTGGGGCTCCTTGGGGTCGAGTCCACACCTCCCTCCCCATGATCCCCACTGTTTCAGGATCAACACGGAAGACGGGGCGGCACCTTGCTGTAAGAGATGGAGTCGAACATCTCGCTGATCTGGGCCGGCGTGTTGACATCCGCGGCAGGGGAGGACAGCGGGTGGGAGGAGGCCAGCGCGTCCACGGCCATCACGCGGTACAGCTCGTTCAGCACTATGAGGTCTTTCTGCAAATCCCCGACAGCCTTCAGTAGACTGGCCTGGGCGGGGCGACCCCCGTCTTCCCCCGCCCCTGCCCGGATCCCAGACCCCAGGGCCCCTGCACAGCTGGCTCACCAAGTTCCAGGTGGGTTCTGCACGGTCAGCACCCAGGTACTCCACGTAGGAGGCAAAGCCCTCGTTCAGCCACAAGTCATTCCACCAGGCCACGGTCACCAGGTTCCCAAACCACTGTAGGGGACGGGGGTCAGCCCGGCAAGCTATTCTGGCCTTGTGGTCACTAAAAGTCCTCAGAGAGACCCCTTCCCAAGTGCCCAAACATGCCAGACCTGGGCTCAGGACTTTTCTGACATTGGGACTGCCCCCTGCTACCTTGCCAGGGGAAACCTCTCCCTTCCCAGCTGCCAAGGGCAGAGGCAGCACCTGTGCCGTTGCCTGTCAGAGCCCCCCTATGTCTTTGTCAGCACTCCCCATGAGGGGGTGGGCTACCTGGTGCGCCAGCTCGTGAGCAATCACAGTGACCACCCGCTCCTTGTTGCTGCTGGACGAGGACTCTGGGTCAAACAGCAGAGCGTTCTCCCGGTAGGTCACCAGCCCCCAGTTCTCCATGGCACCAGCGTTGAAGTCGGGCAAGCCAATCTGGTCTGGGGATACCAAGCAGTTAGCAGGGTGACCTCTGGGTGTGGAGCCCTCTCTGCTGCCCCCCACCGCAGGCCCCTCACTCACCGGATTTCGTGAGTGGGTAGGATGTGTTGTAATGTTCAGCGAAGAAGTTGAGGATGAGGCCTGTCTTGTTCAGGGCATAAATGCCATGACCCTCCTTGGTTGCACTCGGCCGAGCCCAGATCCGGATCTACAAAAAGGAGGCAGGTCAGCCAGGGGCACCCTCTGGGGTCTTGGCGCAGGTGGGCTGAGTCTCTGGGCCTGGACGAGGTTGAACTGGGAGGCCTGGTCAGCAGAAGAGAGGGCTGGGGGGTCTCTGAGGGACTTTGAGTCCTGGGGGGAGGTTTTGGGGGAATAGCAATAGTCACAGTCACCACCTGCCTGGCACCCCTGGGTCTGGAACTCCCTTTATGAGGAGGGACCCATTTTTCAGATGCGGAGACGGAGGTCAGGGAACTCACCTAAGAGGACTCAGAGCTGGCCTAACAATCAGTGGCTGGGACAGGGATGAGGATAAACAGGAATATCCCTCAGGCGAGGCCAATCCCGGGGAAGGGCAAGGAGGCCCAGCTTCCTACCAGGACGTTATTAGGCGCCGTCTCCTCCACAGCAGTGAACTCGCTAACGATGTAGGCCAGCAGGTACGTGGACATCACAGGCGTGGTGTCGAACTCGGTGACACTCCAGGTGGGGTCTTCACTGAACGGGACGCTGGGGCCTGGGCATGGAGCATTCGGGCATGTTGGGCATGCACCCTCTCCCCTCCCTCGCACCCCAGACCTTGGGTGCTGGCTTCGCAAGGCTGTGTGGCCCCTGGCAGACCTGCTCACCTTTGGGCAGCATGTTCGACAGGGCTGTGAGGTTACTGGGGTGGATGAGGGTGATGTTAAACGTGGCCTTCATGGCCGGCTCGTCAAAGCAGGGGAAGGATTTCCGGGCATCTGCAGACTGCATCTGTGTTGTGGCCAGCACCCTGCCCAAACCAGGGTGTTAGAGGAGGTGCCGGCAGAACGCCTGCAGCCGTGGGGGCGGGGGGGGGGGGTAAAGGGGGTTTTAGGGTATTGCTGGGAGTGCAGGGGAAGGGGTACACAGAAGGATGGTCTGGCCTAATCCCTGCCCTCCCCGTCATCTCCCCCAGGCAGCTTCCGGTTCCCAACAGGCCAGCAGCCTCTGGCATATCAGAGCGCCTTATGGAGTCCGGGTCAAAGTCCTGGCCGGCTCCATTGCTGCATTACCTGGGAGACCATGGGCCGATTGCTCTCCTCGGAGCCTCAGTTTTCCTATCTATCCAAGGGGCACTTTTCATTACTTATCCCTGGCTCCCTAATGTGGGGTAAGGTGGCCCTCGGGAAAAGAGTTTATTGTCTCAGTAGCTGCTCCACCAGACCTGTGTGTGGGGCAATGGGCCAGCCAAGGGTTCCAGAAGGCTCCAAGGCATCAAACCCAAGCCCTTCCTCGGCCTCGGCTCTTCCTCAGCACCGAGCACCTCCCTCCACCAGGCAGACCCAGTTCCCACTTACTTTTTGACACCGCCATCCATGTACTCGCTGCGGTAGAAACCTGCCAGGTCATCGGCCAGCTCGCCCACAAACTCACTGTCCATCTCGTACATGCTGTTCACCTCCAGCTGGCCCTTGAGATGCACCACCAGGTACTCAGTGATCTCTACCAGCTCAGTATGGCTGATGCCGGGGGGCTGGGAGCCCCCCACACCCCGCAGGGTCACCATGTGGTCGTCGGGGGTTTTGGTGTAGTTGAGCTTCTTGCTATGGATGATGATGACGTCGGTGGGCTCCTTGCAGGTGAAGCGGACAGTGCTTGAACCACGGAAGGTGTACAAGCCGTCCTGGTTGGGGGTGAGGAAAGGCCTCAGCTTCACATTGTAGGAGTCAGGCACCAGCGACTTGGGGAGGCGGTATCGGTTCCATGGCTTGCTCTGGTCCAAGGTGGTGGTCACAGTAGTGGCAGGGCTGGACGGGGCCCCAGTAGCGGCAGGGCTGGTCGGGGCCCCAGCAGAGCTCTCGGCATTCTTGTTCTTCTCCTGATCGTACACCACCGACAGAGCAATGATGGTGCACACGGCTGCCACGCCCAGGACAATGCCCAGGATGCCCAAAGGTTTGGAAATGTAGAAGCCCTTGGCCATGGTGAGGGTGGGGAGGGAGCGTGGGGAAGCTCAGGGCAGGCAGGGAACACAGCAGCCTGAGGCCAGTCTTATATCCTGGAGGGGAGGAGCCCCACAGCCCACCGACTAGGCAAAAATTAACCAGGACTTAGACAGGCGAAGGTCACTGGACTGGGCAGGGGCGTGCTTTGCCCAGGCTCTGGAGAAGAGATCCAGGAACAGTGCACCTGCTGGGAGCAAAGAGTGTCTGGTTATAGGATGCAGGCTGCCCTGGAGCCTGCCTGCCCGACCAAGGGCGGACGGGTAGGGGGCGGACTGAGAGCCCAGAGGGTAGAGGCGCAGGCAGGTGGCACTGACCTGCGTACACAATGAGACAGTGGGGACAGAAGCAGGAGGATCGGGGTTACAGTCAGGGAAGGACTTCCCAGAAGCCAAGTGGTGGGAGACGCAGAGAAGGGGGGAGTCAGTTTTTGGGTCAAGAACACGCTGGGTCTCCCCTGTGGTTGGATGCTGAAAAGACGCCCAGGCTCCTCAGTGACGTGCCCCCAGCCTCCCCTGCATTCCTCCAGAGCAATCCGGGCTCCCAGGTGCCCCTCCCTTTCCCTTCCTGCCCCAAAACGTTTTCCTCAACTATCAGCTCACGGAGTAGGAAACAATAAGCTGTTTTGCCTTTTTAAGAGAGGAGGGGGCTTAACCTCTTCCCAGCCGTGACCTTGGGCAGGTAGCTTTGTCTTTCTGAGATCTCTTTCCTCTTAAACAATGATAGTATTCACCTCTGAGGTTTGCTGGACAGATTTAATGAGAAAAAATATTAAACACCGAACAGGAGAACCTAAAAATCACCCCTTCCTTTCTTACTCAGAGTTCACCGGCTGCCTCTTTATTCCTATACTTGGTAAAAATGAAGATATCACTTACCATATTCAATAATATATGTTCTTACAGGAAAACAATGTTCATTATTACCCTTTCCATCCACCAGCCCAGTTTCTCAGACTTTGACGTTGCCTGGCCCTGACCCCCACACCCGATTCCCCCACGCCCCAATCTCACCACGTCCTTAGTCAAAGCCACTCTCATTGTTTATGTGGACAGTGCTGTACCCTCACGGACTCCTCACTTCCACTCGGGCCTCCTAAAACCTGTTCACCACATAAACTGGATCATTATTTTCTACTACTGCTGAAAATGAAAACCTTCCTCTTGGTCTTGGAACCAACACCAAATATTCCACAAGTTCGGGCACTAACAGCCTGCCCACTGCCCGGCCTCATTCTCACCACACTCCCCTGTTTTGGTTCTCTAACCTCTCTGGCTTTCATCCAGCCCCTTTACCACAGGGCCTTTGCACGTGCTGTTCCCTCTGCCTGGGCCATCTTCTCTCCCTTCTTGCCCTGGTTAATTCCTATTCATCCTTCAAGTCTTTCTCAGAGAAGATGTGTGACCTCCCTGACCAGGTCAAGCCCTTGTGAGCTCCATTGGCACTGCACAGCTCTTCTTTAAAGCCCTGTAACTCAGCAAGTTTTCCATTTGAACTCTGTGGTTGATGACTGCAGTCCTGCCTGTCGCCCTCATGGACTAGAGGCCCCATGAGATCAGGGCCTTGGCTGCTTCAGCTCATCAGCACTTGGCACATGCCTGGCACATAGTAAGTGCTCAATGCATACTTGTGGAGTGAATACACACATGCATGAAAGGGCAAATAAATGAATGAGTCAATTTAGGAGTCTCACCTTACGGAAGTCTTTCTAGCCCATCTCCACTCCTGTCCCTAACCCTACCCTCGCTCTGGGAGAATTGTCTGCCCCCTTCTCTGAGCCCTCCTCCCCCCAGGGCACACAGGTAGGACTCTTGTAAGGCCAACCGCCTCTCAGGACTCACACCTGTTTGCTCCATCACCTTGTCAGCTTCTTGAGGACCTCATTCCTCTGCCACTCCCTGCCCTGGCTTGGGCCTGCCACCCCCGAGCCTGCATAAAGGAATGGAATGCATCCATAGATGAATTCATTGAGGCATAACTGTAAGTGCAAAATGACTGCCACCTGTCATCAGGCCAGCAGAGGCCAGGGTCTGAGTGCTGGGTCTTCACGGGAAGCCTGGGTGTCCATCTTTCAGATGGAGGGTACTCCGAACCCCTAGCATTTCCCTCTCTCTCTGGAGACCTGCCCCCAGTGCTCTGGTCTGGGCAGTGTGGACTTCCCACTGCAGTGACCAGCAGCCACTCCCGCCAGGCCTGGGCTGATGGCCAAGGGACACTAGTGGGAATCCAAGTGCCCAGGGCAGGGCTGCAACTTGGGCATGGTGGGAGGGGGGAGAGTGACATACAACGGTGATGAAACATGTACTCCCAGTTCCGTTCAGCAGGGCTGGACTTTGCCAAGGGAGGCCACCTTTATAGTACCCCTGAAGGCTGGCACCCAGGACCCACACATCCCCCTGAGCTGTGTTTCACCATGTCTCCCAGGAGGCCTGCAGTCCCCTCCCACCTTTGCAGCAGAAAGACCCACAAATCTGCTAGGCCTAATCCCTTCTCCAAACAAAGAAAGGGGCCCCGGCTGGCCCACAGTGGTCTCTTCCTGTTTGCTTTGGACCGGGACCACAGGCCCAGCTGGCTGGAATCTTACTCTTTTGGAAAGGGCCCACTGCCCTGTAATGAGAGGTCCCTGCTCTGGGCACTGGCCAGCCCAAGCTGGGGCGCAGAGAGGGGCAGGCTCCACAGCCCCCACCTCTGTAATACGGAACAGGGCCCCCCTCCTTCAGCCCCCTGCTGTAGCCCACAGCTGGCCATCTCCACACCCCACCAGTGCTGCACTCCTGTCACCTAACCCTGCCACACACCTTGGCAGGGGGATCTGCCTCTCCTGCTCAAGCCTGGTTTCTGGCTCCTCGCTGCCCTCGGACCAAAACCTCGATTCTGGCTTGAACCTTAAGACCTTCTGTGACCTTGACCGTCTGGCCTCTATTTTCAATGCCCACTGTGGCTCCCGCTGCTGGCATTTCCCCAAACCCTCTGGGCTTTTTCATATCCCTGCACCTCTGCTCATGCTGTTTTGGCTGCCAGGAATGTCCTTCCTCTCTCTCCCGTCAAACTCCTACTCATCCTCCAAAACCCAGCTCAGATGTCACTGCTTCCTCCAGTATGGTAGCCCTGTTGTGCTTCCCTGGCCTCCGGTTCCGATCTCTATATCACAGCACTTATGAAAAGGCCATCTACATGGTCAAAGACTGCCACCCAACCTAGGCATCCCGAGGGAATGCTCTGTGCCATTGTATACCTCTCCATGCTGAGCACAGGTCAGAAGCCCAATGAAGGAAGGCTAAAGGAGCGATAACATCTACAATCCTTGCCATGGCTTACAGGTCTGGCACAATCCAGCCCCCTGGTGATTCTCTGGTCTCATCTCAAGTCCTCTACCCCTACTGCCCTCTCTCCTCTGCCTCACTGGCCTCTCTTGGTTCCTCAAGCCCACCAGGCTTTTCCCCCCATCGGTGTCCCCACACAAGCTGATTTTGGGGCCTGGAAAGCTTTTGTCTGTCACCGACCACCCACGCTTCCTGGAGGCTCACTTCAGTGATGCCATCCCAGGACAGCTCTGCCCCCAGCACCTGAGACTCCTGAGTGTCATGAGGACAGTGTCTTCCTCCCCAGGCAAGCGCCTAGGACACAGCCAGCAGGTAACACATGCGTGTGGAATGGATGCATCAATGAGGAAACGAGAGACAGTGGTTAAAGATGGAACTCAGTGTAATGAAGCCCCTTGATTCTCACTCAGGTCAGGTTTCCCCTTCACCCCTCACTCTCCTTCTTGGGGGTCCTAGGCTGCACACACAAACCACCTTTGTGAGTTGTGCCACATCTGTGGTCCTCCTGTACATGATTTACTTAATATTTTTCTTTACATCAACTCACTACTTACTCTCCTTCAGAGCAATGACCATGAAATCATGGTTGGGTGTGTTATGTCATATTTTTTCCAATACACGTTTCAGTTCATGACTACTGATTTAAAAGCTATTTATCAGGATAGCCCCTAAAATCATCTTGCGTAGATGTGCCCGCTTTGGGAATCACTGCTCCATTCTGCACGATTCTGGGGATGGGGTCACCTGCAGGCTGTGTTTGGAGTGAGGCCTTTCTGCAGATGAACAAAACATTTGTGTTCCTTTGACTGTTCATCTCATGATGGCAGAAAAACCAAGTACCTCCAGCCCCATCTCAATCAAAAGCAGCCTTTCCAGGGGTTTACATATTATAAATAGATGCCTTATGTTTTGATACAGAGAACAAACGTTCCTCTAAATAAATTTAAAAAAAATTAAGGTTGACAATGATCATGTGAGAGAACATGTAAAAAACATTAACAGAATGGGAAAAGGCAGCTTTGTCTCAGATGCCGGGGGAAAGGTTGCCCTCTATTTAAACACGAGAACACCAGGAACCTGGGAGGGACTGTGGCGGGAAGAGCTGAAGACCAGCAGTCAAGCAAACTACTGTGTAATCCAGGTCCTTGGGTAACCTGCTGCTCATGCTCTCTCAGTCCCCCCACCCCTAACCTGTCAACTGCAGGGTTGGGTGGGCTGGGAGTTAGGGGACAACCTGAAGCCCATCTGTCTGCTCTGAAGCAGTGAGTGGGGGGGCAATGACCAGGATGGGGCCCTAGCGGCAGGGTGAACTCTGACCCCTCAGGCCCCTGGCCGTCCCCTGGCGTCTGAGGCCTCCACTCACAGCTGCATGAGGCTGGATCTGGGCCAGACCCCAGGGTGCTTCCTCTGGGAGCCTCGGACATTGTCCATCCTGTGAGAACCTCAGAAGGCCCCCTGATGGGAAGTCAGTTCCTATCTTGGCCTCTGGAGCCCAGAACAGGGCACTCAGGAGAGAAGGAGTAAGAGGGGATCTCGTGGGATTTGGGGGGAGGTATACCAGCAGTGTAGAAGCCATTCTGGGCTGCGGATCCTGCCTGGCAACTCCCATCAGTTTAACTGAGCACCCACTATGTGCCTCACCAGGGTAATCACCACCATTTGGCAGCTGAGGAAACCAAAGCACAGAGAGGTTAAGTGGCTTGCCCAAAGTCACACAGCTCATTACTGGCATTGCTATCAGACGCAGACCTGTGGAGGACCCTGGCTCTGCTTCCAACAGTGCAGCTGGAGCCACTGATAACAGGCCCAGGCTGGGGGTGAGCAGGTGGCCCATCATCTATGCCATCCCTCCCGGTAAGGGGTCCTGAATCTTCCACCAGGGCCACAGCCCAGTAACTAGGTCCAATTTGAATGGCCTGGCCCATTCCCATGCGGGGACGCCTACCTGTCTCCTCAGACTGTTTGGCAATAGAGCTCTTGAAGCAAAGGAGGACATGGTTTGTGGGAGTCGTAAGGAGTTGGGTCCCCACTGACCAGAAGGCTCTGGGGGAAAGCACAGGGCAGGGGGTGCGCTGCCTCACATAGTTGAGCCTGTTTCCCCATTTGTGAAATAGAGCAGCTCTCTCCAGTACCTTCCACCGATAGTCTAGCCTTAGACTCTAGGGCTCCACAGGGGGCTAGTGGATGACGGCTGGACATGGGCCCAGGGAGTCGCCCGCCTTCCCCAGGTCCCCTGTCTTCGGGTGCACTGGAGGCCCATCCCCACTTCCTCTTGGCATGCTCTCATTCCTTGCCACCCTCGACCCGCAGGTCTACTACTGCCCTGCCTCAAAATCAGATGACCTGAGTGCCCAACAGGGCCAAGATTCCACTTTTACAGGTGAATACCCAAAGGCACCGAGACGTTCAGGTCACTTAAGACACTAAGCCACAATCAGACTTCAGGGGCTCTGACCACCCAGCCACACTGCCTGGTTGGTGGGGAGGAGGGATTCAAGTCACAAAACACAAAGCAGGGCCCATGGGGGTCCCCCACCCCCACCTACAGCCCTTCTGGGGGTTTGGAGGTGCTTGGGAAGGACTCCATTAAACCCCGTTTGGAGGACCCCTCCCCAGAACAAGGGCCCGATGGGGTGGTTGTAAGGTGCAAGGGAGACAACGATTGTAAAATAGGTGATTAAAAATAGGAGCGCCATTTCCTCTTTCCTGGATGGGACAGAGAGGGCTTTGGACAGAGGCAAAGATTTAAAGGCGGTGAACAGGCCCCCGGGCCACACTCCTCCAGCTGCTGTCTAGATCCCTTTCCTTTCCTCTCGGGCTCCACCCCACCCGCTACGAGACTGAGCGCCCAGCCGCCGTGCTGGGTCGCCACACGCGTGCACCTTTCGTCCAACAACCCTGCCTCGGACCCCAGCAGGGTGCAGTCCGCCCCAGCAGCCGGGTCACCCTACCTTTCCTCCCCAGAGGCTCCAGCAATCCCCTCCCCGCCCTGAGGGCCACCTCTCCAAGTGGGAGCTCCCCCTGCCCTGACCGGGCCACAAGATCGCAGCGGGATCTTGGCCAAAGGAATTCTTGGTTCTCCCTGGGCCTGTGTGCTGGCCCGAGAAGCAGGTGTCAGCAGCAGACGTGGGGGTCCTTGCGCGCACTGGCGTCGGGTCCCCCCTCACTCCGGCTGCAGCTCCCCCAACGGGCCGCACCCCCTTCCGCGCTCCACTTGCCTCAATCGTGGGAGCCTCCTCCCTGCACGACGAGCCGACCAGTAACTCGCACAGCCCCACCAGGACCAGCTTTTAAAGGGAAGTAACCTGACCCGACCACTACTCCTCGCGGCTTAACCCTTTCAGGCCTCTCCCCATCCTTCAGCTGCGCCGTGACTCCCCGATCTGCCTGCCAACCTCCGGGGAGTCCCCGGAGCTCCGTGTGTGGGGAGCTGCCCCGTCTCCCCCGACAGCCCGACCCATAGGGCCTGGAGTCGCTCTTGGGTTCCTGGTCTCCTAAGGCCCCCTGACAGAACCCCCCTGTGACCCAGCCCCAGAGCCCCGTCCCTCCACATCTGGACGGCATCTGCCAATGGGGGAGGGGCACAGAAACTAGCCCTTCCAGTTGGGGGGCGGAGAGCCCCACTCACCTAGGAAAACAAACCGCGCATCCCACCTCCCCCGCAAGATGGGTGTTCTGGATAACTGACGTAATTTAACTTTCGTGATTCCAGGGGATTATCAGGAAGAAGGCAGAGGAGCTGGACCTAGCAAATAAAATGACCAGAGCCAAGGGGGACTTGTTTCTCACCCAGCTTCTGCTCCCAGAGGCTGTGCGGACAGGAGCTGGGTCCTCCTCTTCTCGGGTCATCTTTTTACTGAGCAGCGCCAAGATGCTATCAGCAGCCTACTTTCCTGTGGCTGCTGTAACAAATGAACACAAACTCAAAAACAACTGCACATTTCTTATCTTCCAGTTCTGTAAGGCAAGTCCAAGATGGGTCTCACAAGGCTACGCTCACTACAGTGTCCGCAGGGCTTGCATTCTTCTGGACACTCAGGAAGCCCCCCTACCATTTTCAAAGCCAGCAGTGGCCTGTTCAGTCTTTCTGACATCACATTACTCAGACTAACTTTTCTCCTGCCCTCTGCTTTCTGTCCTCCACTTGGATAACCCAAGGTAATCTCCCAATTGTAAGGTCAGCTCATAGCAATTTTAATTCCATCTGCAACTTTAATTCCCCTTTGCCATGTAGCAAGCATATTCCCACATTCCAGGGATTAGGACTAGGACTTTGGCTGGGGGTGGGGGTGGGGGGAGCATTATCCTGCCTACTACAACATTCAAGACACTCAGATTTAGAAGCAAATTTAGAGAACACCCAGTCGAATCAGCTCTTCCTCATCCATTTCTGGGATCTGTGTCCAGACTGGTTGCTTTTTTGACGGACTGCTATGTTTGCATTTGCTCTTTCTTTGGAAACTAACTATATGGTGAGCCAGAGTGCCTCTAAGTAGCAGCCTTCTTCTCCTTCCTAATTCATTGCTGGGCTCTTAAAAGCCAGGCCACAAGTTTATTGGGATACTGAATTGAGTGCAGAGTAAGTAGGCTCTGCGTGAGACCCCAGCAGCTATTTTGGGGTTTCCCCGCTCTCCCTCCAGTCTCATCCTGCCTTGACCCTCCTCCAGCATGTCTGACACAATCCTCTCTGGCTGACAAGCCAAGGAAAAAGGCTCAATCCAGGCCAGAGAGGACCTTCCACCCAGGTCTCTGCCTCTCTGCCTTGGGCTCTGAGGGCATTTGGAAAGGAGTGAATATGCTACCCCTGACACAAGGGCGGCCTGACCTTCTGGGGGGCAGCTTCGGGATAGGAATGAAGCTCCTTTCAAGAATTTAGCCTAAGGACATAGAATATTTATGGACAAGGCTTTTCACTGCAGTGTTATTTATAATTCAGGAAACTCAGATATACCCTAAATGTTCTGGCTAAATAAATTATGGTTTTCCAATATGATGAAATACTATCCCACGATGAAAAGCAAATCATGTTTATAACTTCCCAATGAAACCATGGGAAAATAAAAATAAAATCCCAGAGTGAGAAGCCCTCTCTAAATAGTATACAAAACCTGAAGTGTAAAAAGAAAACATTGATACATTTGACTATTGGATTGTCAGAAAAGTCATGACCTATTTTTTCTATGTTTTTCATTGCAAAAATGTATCATGACTTTTCTGACAACCCAATACATGAAAAAATTAAAATGTCTGCATTGCAAGCAACACCACAAAGTCAAAAGAAAAACTTTAAACTGAGGGGTGGGGGGTGGGAAACATAAGTAAAGGGCTGATTTCTCTAATATATAAAGAGCTCCCAAAAATCATTTTAATATGAACTGAAATGGGATGGAATGGGCAAAGGATATGAAGAAATAGTTCATGGAAAAGGGGAAATCAAATGGGCCCTGAAACATGTGAAAAGATACTCAATAACTCTCTTAAAAAGATACATGAGAATTCTATCTCCAAAAATACTATTCTTCACTTATCAGATAAGCAAAGATAAAAAACAACGCAACAAAAAAAAACCAGTTCGCAGCACAGTATGTTTGTTACGGTGGGAGGAGAGAGGCACCCTCCTGAAATGCCAGCTGGTGTGTAAACTGACTCAGCCTTAATAGAGGCAATTTGGCAATATTTATCATACATATAAACACAGGCCCTCTTTGACTCAGCACTTCCACATCTAGAAATTTATCCTGCAGATATCCTCACATACAAGCGAAATGGTGAATGTCTAAGGCTTTTCACGGCCACATTGTCTGTAGCTGGCAAGAACCAAAGTGTCCACCAGTAGAGACAGATACTGAGCTCTTCCTGTGTGTCCATGCAATGGAATGAAATGTATGTAGCTATGAAAAAGAACACGGGTGCTCTCTATGGAACAATGTCCAAGACATGTTGTTAAGTAATAAAAGCTGGGTGCAGATCATTGTTCAAGGAGCTTATTAACTGTATCTTAAAAGGGAAAAAGCACATAATTCGCTCTTACGTAAGAATACAATGACTAAAGATACATAAGAAACTGGTAACACTGGTTGTTTCCCCAGAGGCGAACTGAGCAGTGAGACAGCAAGGTGGGAAACAGACTTTTCAATGTATCCTTTTGTTACTTTGAATGTTGCACCATGTGAATACTCGATGTATTCAAAATATAAATACAATTAAAAGTGGAAGACAGAAAGATCAGAGGATTAATGGATCTTACAATATAAACAATTTTAAATTTTTATATTTATGGATGAAATGATTTGATTTCTGGAGTCTGCTTTGAAATAATCCAGATGAGGTGGGGAAGTCAGGGCTGGCTGCTCATTACAGCATGATTTAAAATAGTTGAGAATCAGAAACAACCTAATGTCCAGTAATTGGGGATTGGTTAAGTAAATTACAGCCCTTCATGTGCGAAAATACCATGCCACCATTTAGAACATAATAAATCATGTTTTAGAAGTACTAGAAGAATCTGTTTTGTTTTGTTAATAATCGTGGGGTGGGAAGACCTTTCTAAGTGTTATGCAAAGCCCAGAAGCCACAAATAAAAAGGCTGAAAAACTGGACTACACAAAAGCAAAAATTTCTGCATTGCAAAAACTGCCACATGGCATAGTCAAAAGGAAAACTTCACACGAGGGGTGGGGTGAGGGGTGGAGAGGATTGGGGGTAAATTAGCCTCGTTGTGATCAGCGTTGGAGCACAGAGATAGATACGGTGGGAATTCATTAGTGTTCTTATTACTCTTGAGTATGCTTTCAAATTCCCATAATAAAGAGTTAAAAATCATTTATGTACATGCAAGCTTTTCTGTATGGCAAAAGACATCTATTATACTGGGCTGTAACATTTGCAATCCATAAAACAAAGGGTTAATGTCAATAATGTTCAAAACATGTCCCACAAGGCGATTTTTAAAATTAAAGATGCCACGGCCGAGTGGTACATTGGTTAAAAGTTGGCTTGGGACACCAGCTCTGAGAAGCAGGGCCCCGGTTCGGATCCCACATGAAAGCCAGTGATGCTGCACCCTCTACAGCTAAGATGGTGAACAACAACTCGACCTGGAGCTGGGCTGCTGTGAGTTGCCGGCGACAGCATAGGCTTCAGTGGGGCTGGTCGGCAGCGGGCGTGAGCTGCCATGAGTGGCCGTCCAATGGCCAGCGAGCGACTGTCTCAGCCGGGAAGAGTGCAATGATAATACCAACATGGGCCAGTGAAACGACATCCTCCACAACTAGACTGAAGAACAAAAAGACAGCAACTTGTCTGGTCCCCTTCCCTGATTCCCCAACACTGTTCCCCTCCCCGCAATTCCCCAATAAAATCTTTAAAAAAAAAAAAAAGATGCCACAACTGAAAACCGGGCAAAGGATTACAATAAAAAACTCACGCAAGTGGAAATAATAAAGGCCAGCTGACACATGAAAAGATGTTCAATCTTGGTCATATTCAGGGAACACAGTTTCAAAACAATGAGATGTCAATTTTTGCAACCGTTTAGACGACTGATAACATCTAGAGCTGGCCAGAGTGCAGAGAGCCAGCGCTTTGCACACACCGTAACAGTACTTGTGAACTGCTCCCACCACTTGAGAACGTAAGACGGCAAGATTTCCTGAAACTTGAAATGCATATGCCCTTTGACTGGGTGACCCCGCTCTGGGGAATGTGTCCTAAAGCCAGGGGCATTTAAGGATATATAGGAGGAGGTTTATTGCAGAATTCCTTGTTACAAAAAAAAAAAAAAAAAAAAGGGGGGGGCTGAAGTGTCCATCTAAAGGAAACATTATGTAGCAGTGAGAGAAAACAAGTTAATTTTGTACATATTACCTTGTAATGATGTCCAAAGTCTATTCTTCAGTTTAAAACCAAGTGCCAAAGTAATACATTGATTAAGACCCTATCTTCATGAGAACGCTCTGGGTGTCTGGCCACTTGTACAGGGGACAGAGCAGGAACATATGTGCCAGTCGGAGAATCATGCTGGTCTCAGTGAGGTGAACTTGATGCAGGGGGTGGAGGAGGAGGGCAGGAGAGATCACCATTTTTGTCCTTATACACCAGTGTATTTTTTGAAATTATTAGAACATATACTATTTTTGTAGCAACCACCAAAACCATTATACTAGTTTTAAAAAGAAGAAAGTGTTGGGAAAGGGGAAGATGGTAAGGGCTGGGCCCTGCTTGTCCTGTGTGGGGCCTCTCGGTGACCCTGGCCCTGCTCCAAGCTTGAGGTTGCTGGGCAGGGCCCTGTGGGTGGATGGGGTGGGTGGGGAGTACGTGCCAGATGTCAGGGTGGGGCAGGGGCCAGTACCAGGAAGCTCGATGATGATCTTTTCTTAAGTTCCTTCTCCAAGCTGGAGTTCCTTGACTGGGACAGGGAGTTTTTCCCAGGCCTCCTTCCCTGTGCCCACAAGATCAGAATAATGTGGGTGTAGGCAGGAAAGGGATGGAGACTTGCAGAGCACTGTCTCCTTGACCCTCACTGCCCCTTCCCTACACACTGGTTCCTCTCCCCGTGGAGCAGTGTGTCTGAGAACTGAGCACCTACTGCAAGCAGGTAATTCAACTCTGAGGCCAGCACAGCCCCTGCCCAGGAGTGGGAAGGGTTATGGCTATTCACTGCTCACTCATTTGGTCGGTCGGTCAGTCAGTCAACAAACATTAGAGCATGTACTATGTGCAGGCCTAAGCTCTGCTCTGTGCATGCAGGTCTCCCTGGGCAACAGCAGCAAGGATAAGTCTGTACTGTTTTCCCAGTGCTTGTGCCCCAGTGCCTAGCACGGGGCTTGGCACGGATCAGGTGAACAAGTGAACCAAGTTCCACGCGGCTGTCATGACAGCGGGGAGGAGTGCCGCTCTGTGCCTGGGGAGGGTCAGCAAACAGAGGGGACTATTCAGGTTGAGTCTGGAGGGTTGTGTGGAATTAGCCTGAGGGACAGGTGGAGGGTGTCCAAGCAGAGGGAACAGCATATGAAAAGGCAGGCGGCCAGGTGCATGATGGGACATGAGGCTGGGGTGGGCAGGGACTGGGCACTGGAGCCTTGGATGGCATGCCAAGGAGTTTAGCCTCTAGGAATATTGACAAAAGACAAAAGGATGCTGGTGAGGTTAGATAAGCCTTTTGGAGTGAGCCTCTAGGGACAGTTTGGGAGCCAGCTTGTGTGCATGTGGGGGTGTCAGAAGGGAGGCAGGGAGAGCAGCTGGAAGTGGGCAGGGGATCTCCAGAGGTGAAGGATCCCAGCCGCAGGCAGAGACCTAGGGGCTTCGAGGAGGGGGTGGTGAGAGGATATTAGGAGGCTTGGTGACCAGGAACTACCCACAGCGGGAGGGGGGGGGTCCCAGGAGGGGAACCAGAGCTGTTTGGGCTGGAGAAGGTGGTGCTAGAGTCAGCACTTCCTGGAACTGAGATTTAAAAAAAATTTCTTATTGCTGTTGTTTTCAAGAATTCAGTTGGGGTTTTATTATGAAATTGATTAAAAACACATTTTTTGAAATAAAAAGGACAAAGAGCCCCTGTTAGAGCAAACTGTCTTGGTGAGGCAGGAAATGGGACAGGGCCTGTTGATATAAGTTGGGCCCAGCGGAGGCCCAGGCTGTGGAAGGGACAGAATGAATCCATGGTCCAGTGGGAGGGACAGAGAGGTCCTTGAGGCGGGATGAAAGGAAGGGACAGGCCAGCCAGGGCAGGAAGGCAGAGCGAGCCCGGCACCCTTGAGTGGGCTCCCACACTGGCGCACTGACCTCAAGCTCTGGGAGCCTCGCCAGGGTAGGGCAGCGCAGGGTGCTCAGGAGACGGCTGGCTTTGCAGTCAGACAGGTGGCTTCGTGTCAGGTAGGACATGTACAAGCTGGGCAACCCGGAGCCTTCACCCTCCTCATCTATAAAGCCCGGGCAGGCCCCCATTGAGATGTTGTGAGGCTGTATGAGAAGAGGTGTGAACAGTTTACCAACAGCCCAGAGGAAAGTCTCAGCAATGGCACGTTCATGGGTGTTCTGTCTCACCAGCTTGGCACTGCTCATGTCCCCTCCAGCCTCTCCTTGGGGCATCAGCCTCTTTCCCCTGCATCCTCAGCTCGAGGGAATTGCCCCATTGGCCTCCTCTGCCACCCCTCCCGCACCTCTTCCCAGGGCCCTGCTATCTCTTGAAAGAGCCCTTTCCTGGGATCCCCCCCGCCCCCAGACCCCTGCTCTCCAGGCCTCTGCCCACCTCCCTCTGCAACCTTCCTTCTGCCCACCCTGAGGCCACCCGCCAGCCCTCCTCCATAACAGAGTACCACACACAGGGTGGCTTAAAACAACAGCACGTTATCCTCTTGCCGTTTGGAGGCCAGCAGTCTGAATCTAGGTGCCAGCAGGGCCAAGCTCCCTCCGAAGGCTCTAGGGCAGGATCCTCTTGTGGCTCTTCCAGCCTCTGGTGGTTCCAGGTGGCCCCTGGCCTGTGCTTGCCTCACTACAAGCTCTGCCTCTGTGGCCACAGGCCCATCTTCTCTGTCTCATAAGGACACTTGTTGCTGGATTTAGGGTTCACCTGAATAATCCAAGATGATCTCGTCTCCAGATTCTTAATTACACCAAACACCCCCATTAAAAATAAGGTCCAGGAATTAGGATGTGGGCATGTCTTTGGGGTGCCACCATTCAACCCACTGCACCGGCAGGGCCGTGGGGCCCTCCTCAGGCCCCTCAGCCTCTTCCAGGGCAGCCTCTGCCCACTCCCCATGTGGTTAACGCCCCACTCACCCCACACCCGCACCACAGCCTCCTCTGTCTCCAGCATCAGAGAGAAAATCAGGTGTTCTTCCCACCTGCCCTTGGGGCCCCACCTTCCCGGCACCTGGGAGACCTGCTCCAACCTGTCTCACCTCCCAAGGGCTTCCTCCTCTTGCTCTTGCAGCCCGAGACCTTCTCTAGAATTCCCTTCTTTGAAATCGTAGACGCTGGACGGTGTGGCCCCTTCAAAGTCCAGAGGCCTCCCCACTTCCTCATCCCACCGACCAGCAGAGCCCTCAGGAGTCTTCTTGGGGCCTCTACGGCTCAGACTGGCCCCTAGTGCTCCAGACACCAGCCCTCCAGGGTGGCTCCAAGCTGTTGCGGGACGAGAACCAGCTGCCCTGGAGGCAGGTCGTCCTCTCCCTAACACTCAGATCTGTACCAAACGTGGCCCCCAGGACTGGCTGGCCACAGAAGTGGGACCTTGGGCCTGGTGATCACTGAAGCCCACCACTCCAGGCTTCCGCGGGCCTGGGGTCTGTCTACACCTGGACAGAGGTTTCAGGAAAGGGTTGGGTCAGATCCCAGTGTCCAACACTGGTCCTTTGGGGAGGCAGGCTGTGGACAGTGGCCATTCAGTACCAGGCTTTGTATTCTGGCTGTGACAATTACTAGCTAAGTGACTCTGGGTGACAAGCTTCTCTGGGCCTCATCTGCAGATAGTCACAGCACTTTGCCTTGGGGGGTTGTGGTGAAGATTAAGTGACACGCTGACTATTCCCTGATGAATGAACCGAGATGGGGTGACCCAGGAAGTCTTTCCCCATCTCCCACAAACCAGCTCAGAGTCCCTATACTCTCGGCATCAGCTCTGTCTGCTGTGTGGATTTGAAGGCTAAGGACACAGGGGTCCCTTCTAGCCTGGGCGGACTGTGGAGGGGGTGTGAGAGACACCGCAGTGACAGGACAATGGCAACAATGACCTAACATTCATTCTGCTCCCACCATGGCCAGGCACCACCCCACGTACTGCCACTTGGGACACTTGAGGCCCCACTCAAGGCAAAGCTGGGACCTGCAGGCTCAGAGTAAAAGGCTCACCTGTGAGGACACGTGGGAGAGAGGTCACACAGGGGCCACGGGAGCCTGGCCCAGCCTGGAGTCTGTACCCTTGCCAGAGCCACGGGAGACTGGAGCAGCTCGGCAGGGCTGGGCTGGGAGTGGGTTGACCTGACAGGAGCAGGTTGTAACCCTGAGCACCGTGCTCAGGGAGGGGCCTGACAGGGAGAGCCCGCTTCAGCCTGCTGGCCTGTGCCAGGTTAGGTCCTCATTCTCATCAATGCGAAAGACAACCCTCATTCTGCCCTCTGGAAGGCGTGGAGGGCACACCAAGGGCACGCCTAAGAGGCAGGGGAGCCCCCTGTTCCCAAGTGCTCTCGGGAGACCAGGCTGATGTCAGAGGTGAAGAAAAATGTAAGGTTTACTCTTGAGAAGGCCCAAAGATACCATGTTCCATGGGTAGTGGGGGAGTTCCCTACAGGACCCCAACGCTCAACCAGGCCTGCTTGGCCAGAGGCCCTCGCCCTGGTCCTAGCCCAACACCAACCCCTCCCACTGTGCCTGCAAGACCTCTGGATTTTTCTGCTGACTCTGGGGAAAGGGAATTCCCCCCACTTCTCGTTCTACTGGTCATGAGTTTGCTCTTTTGTCTTCAAACTCCTCATCATCAAAGAAACTTCACCTTCCAGAGACTCTTACCACTTTTCCTACAGCTTTATCCAGTGGTGGCCTCTAGATGGGCACGGGACCCACTGGTAGGGCCAGGCCGGCAGCCACTGTCCCCATCGTCCCTCTGCAGACCCACTCCTGAGGCCCACCTCGGTTCCCCTTCCCCTCTCCCAGGCTGTCTCTCCTTCCCAGCACCACCAAACTCCTCCTGGCTTATTGCGTCGACGTCAACTCCCCTTCCCTCTGCAAAAGTCCCAATGACAACAGCAGCCAACGGTTATGGAGTCCTTCGTGGTCCCCATCAATCCTCGCATGAACCCTTACAACCCCCACAGCAGGAGTTACTGGTACTCCTTTATAGATGACACTGATCTTCCAAAGGCTCTGTGACAGACCCACACTCTTACACGACCACCTTGAGGTCTGGATCCGCCCCACCAGAACCAACCCTTCCGTTGGTTCTGGGCCAGAACCAACCCTTCCGTGTTCCCTCATATCACTGCCGCACTCGGGGGGCCTGGCGGGACGAACTGCAAACCCAAGAGAGGTAATCTCTTCTTGGTCCCCACTGCCTCAGCCTCTCAGCAGGGCTCCTTCGTACTGCGAGTCGCTCCACTGTCTCGACTCTCCTCTCACTTCCCCGTCCCGTGCACAGGCTAGATCTCAACCCTCTCCTCTCATTCCCTGGCCACGTCGCTCACCCCCCTGGCTTCAGCCACCATCTCTCTGGGATGGAAACTCATGTCCTCTCCTGCCTCCTCCCAGGTTCCAGCTGGCTGGTGGACATCTGCCCCCAGATGCTCTCAGGCAACTCCAGCCTCACACGCCCACATCCAAACTCCGGCGGATCTTTCTCCCTCCCAACCCACCTCCTCCTCTCCCAACAGCCTCACTGGCCCTCCAGGCACTCGGGCTCCACTGTCAGCAGCTTTGCCTTTCTCTTCCTCGGGTCCCTCCTCACCTGCTGCTCCCAATGTCACAACCCCGACCCTTCTTCCCAAAGTGCTGAGCACAGGCCCTGGAAAGCACAGCTCTGGTGAGTCACTCTGATGACTGTTTGCCTCAACCATTCACTCATTCAAGTTATTTACTGCACACTATGTACCAGGCACTGTTCATAGCAGCTGGGGGACAGCACTACAACTGAGAAATCTCTGCCCTAGAGGAGCGTATATCCCGGCAGGGAACAGACAGTAACCACAGCCCAAACACACAGTATGAGAGGGCCACGGGAACAGAAAGGCAGAGCAAGGACAGGCAGTGGTGACGCATTGCTATTTCCTACGGGTGGTCGGGGAGGCCCCGGCTCTCTACAGCGGAAGATACACTCTTAGTTTTGGTAACAAAAATCCAGGGACTTGGTTTCTTAATCCTTTAAATTGAAAACACTTGTTCTTACAGGGATGGCGGGGTGAGGTGGTTTGGGGAAACAGGGTGAGCGTCTGGCTGAACAGCCTTTTATTATCTTAATTTTTGAACTACATGAGTGTATTTCCTTTTTAAAACATTCACTCATTGAAATAGGAAAGAATTTAAACAGTCTTTTGGAAAAGATTAATCATTTTCAGGAACTATTTCCTTAAAGGGGTCCTGTGTGCATATCTACCAACTGCTGCCAGAACGCTGCAGATGTGGAAGCCGCCAGGGCTCCCAAGGCCAAAGTCTTAACCACAAGGCAGCCAATCGGCACCTGGGAGCACCGACCACACGCTGGGGTACGAGGCTAGCGACGACCACAATGAGGGGGGCCCCCTCTTGGTGGGCGGGTGGGGAGAGGACTGGGAGGCTCAAGACTAGGACATGTGCTGGGAGCCGACAGCCCCCAGTCTCTCATACTCCAGATGGGGCTCTCCATCTGGGCCACCGCACTCACTCCTGATCTTTACCTTCAGCTCAAATCACTGCTGTGTCCTATTTGGAAAGCCACAGCCAGACGGCCACGCGAAGGAGAACCCTACCAAAGACTGGTTCACATGACAGGATTTTGCCAGCAGCCTGGTTTTAGTCACAGTCCCCTGGTTTCTTTCTGGCAAAGCTGGGGCCAGGGAGGGCTTCACTTAGGGTGATTCAGTGGAGGTGGTGGGAGGGGGGGGCAGAGGCTTGAGTAGCAGAAGACACGATATCCTGTGAGGAAAGGTGGGTAATTAGGTGTTTGTGTCCCCCAGATTCATATGTTGAAGTCTAATCCGCAATGTGATGGTATTTGGAAGTGGGGCCTTTGGGAGATAATTAGGTTTGGATGAGGCCATGAGGGTGGAGCCCCCAGGATGGGAGTGGAACCCTTATAAAGGGACAGAGCTTTTTGTCTCTGCCATGTGAGGACATGGCAAGAATGTGGTCTTTGAAACAGGAAGCAGCTCCTTACCTAGACATCAAATCTATTGGCACCTTGATCTTGATCAGCCTGCGGAACTGTGAGACATGTTTGCTGTGTAAGACTCCCAGGCTACGGTATTTCTGTGACAGCAGTTTGAACTAGGACAGGCTGTTTGGGGCATGGCATGACGGGGCTAGCTGGGGGTGGGAAATGCGCTGCTGTGCTTTAAATATCCCGTGGAACACAGTCACTGACTCTAGGCTGCCAGTCAGACTCAATCTGGGCACTCAAGAGACAAAAGTAGGAAGCAAAGCCTGAACCGAGCCTGGCACTCATCAGGCACTCAGAAATTACATAATGGCAGAACTTTAGATTTTAATTAGTGGCAGAGAGCACTGAAAACCCAGTATTCTGCACCACTTTAGGAAATGCTCCATGTAAAACCATCCAGGGCCAAGGACTCTCAAATTCAGACCCGGTCCCTATTTTCATAACTGACACCTCCTAGCAGCAGTATTTGTATCCCTCTCCAAACACAGGCCAACAAGGATTGCTTCTTCACTTATGAAGAAAAAAGTTTATGACTTTGCTGATAGTAGACAAGAAAGCTAGCTGGGTTTGCTGGCAACCTCAAGTAGTTAATGAACAATGATTGTGGCTTGTTCAAAGAGATTGAGTTTTCCAAACACAAAACCAGGCTGAAGCTGTATGACATTTCTAGAGGCAATGAGGGTGGGGTTGGGGCGCCCACTGTTGGGAGTCTACAGGACCAGCCAATGGTTCGTGGGAACATAAAAAAGGCAAAACAGGGGTGTCCAGTTAGCTCAGGTGGTTAGAGCGCAGGCTTATAACACCAAGGTTGTCGGTTCGATTCCCATATAGACCAAGGAGCTGCACCCTCCACAACTAGAGACTGAAGACAACAACTTGAGTTGGAGCTGATGGGTCCTGGGGAAATGCCCTCCACAACTAGACTGAAACAACTACTTATCTTGGAGCTGATGGGTCCTGGAAAACACACTGTTCCCCAATTAAAACAAAACAAAACAAAAAGCAAAACCTTTGAAGACCATCCCAGGGACTCTAGGAGGACATGTGGCTTCCTACTGTAATGCATTAAAGCACAAAGCAAGTCAAGAAGAATGATTCGGCTCTTACTTCGTGACCCTCATCACACCTATCCCCCGGCTTCGGTTTCCTCATCACTTCAATGCAGCCACGCAGAGGGCCCTCCAGCTCTTACACTCTACGGTGCCGTCACTGGCGGCCTCAGAAAACCACGCCTGTTTTTAACCTCTGTGAGACTCAGTTTCCTTATCTATAGGAAAGAAGATAAAGTTGGGAGAAGTCATCGTGAGCAGTGGGAAAAAAAAGAAAACGAAGGACTTTGGAGTTAGGCAGGCTGACCATATAAATTCTTAGCGCTGTGTGGCCTCGAGCAGGTTACCTGACCTCTCTGAGTCTTACTTTCTTCACCTGGAAACTGGAGATGACAATGTCTGCTTTAAGGACTGTGGAAGGATCTTGCCTATGTCACCTTCCAGCAGGTGCAAAAGAAACATCGGTTTCCTTCCTTTGTTCCTACTTCGCATTCAGCAAATAAATATAAGAGGGATGTGAATGTGCTGAAATGTCTGTAAAAAAAAAAAAACCAACAGAATATCATCACAGGTTTTGACGTCAGATGTATTCGCCTACATTTCCCTCTTCCAACATAAGGAGGCTTCTGCTCAACACAGGCAGTGCCAGCGAGGATCGGCAAGCCTGAGGACAAGAGGCTGCCTGAACAATGGGCACTACCCACAGGAGGCACTGCTCCGAGTGGGAAAGGATGTGATCCGGACATGGTCCTGCTGGGCACCATCCCTGCTGGGCTCTGCGACGGCCCCGGGAGGCTTAAGCCACTAGCCCGTGATGGGGCAGTGAGCTCCACATGGTCCCCGAGACCTGGCCTCCAGGCGGTACGGAAGCTCCAGGACTACTCCAGGAGGATGCTTATCACCCGTCCATGCTGACAGGTCTCCAAGGCGAGCTCCAGAAGCTGGTACAGACAGAGGTGGGTTTCCCATTTGGAGAAGAGTCATCATTCGTAATACAGCGAATGAGGAGAACGTGTTGTAAACTCCGAGAAGGTCTTAATTCTGAGATGTTTCCTATGTTGTCAGCTTTACCTGCTACAGACACAGGGCCTCTTTCCTTTGAGCGGGGACGCCTCCAGCCGTGCTAGAGAGATGGCTGTGTTGGGGGAAACGTGGTGGGCATGCACCAGGCTTATGATTTGGATTGTGTCCCGCACATGAACACCTGTGACAACAGAGCCAGGACTATGGCAGTGGGGAGATGTAGTCTGCAGGAGGGGGTAATCAGAGAGGTTGGCTATGAAAGGATTCTGGGTATGACAACCCGAGCAGACCCAGGAGGCCATGGTTCTCATGAGATCCTGCCCTTGTCTGCCCATCAGCACACCCCCAGGTATGAAGAGTCAGCTCTTTTCTACCTATGGCCTCTCACCAGCAAAAGTAAATGCTACAGGACCTCAGGCCTTGTGACTCTAAGGGAGAAGGCTACTCGGGGTTGGTCCTAGTGGCGGGGTTCTGGCAAGCAGGTGGGCCTCTCAACACAGCCCCTAATCCCGGGGAGCAGCTGCAGGTGGGAGGCAGAGGGTGCGGGTGGTCTGGTCACACTGACCCCCAACTGGGGAAACCAGGGCTCCCCTCACATCTGCAGTGGCCAGGTGTGTCAGAGTCCGGCAAGGCTGCACATGTGAGAACGGAGCACACGCTGGCAGTGACACAGGACTCCCTTCCCAGCTCCACGGCAGCGAGGCTCAGGGCCTGAGGCCTGGCCCGTCTGAGGCTCAGAGTGGGTTCTGTTGCGGGACTGACTTGGATTCGCTTGTTTCCAGGACTCCAGTTCAGCCCAGTCTTCAACCCTCAGACAAACTGGGACAGGTTGGGGACTTTGATGTTGAGATCACCAATGTTGATGTTCCGAGGAATCTCCGGCAGGTTGATGTTTTTCACAGCAGACACAGCCCGGGCGGGGGCTGCCGAGAGGCCGCCCTGAGAAGAAATGAGAGGTGGGTATGAGACAAACCCTCAGTGTCATCTACTGGGTGCTGGAAAAAACAGCAAGGAAAGAGGCCTAGCAAATGTCCAACCTGAGCACACACTACGAGAGCTTTGCTTTTTTCCTCCCTGCTACCTGGACGGCAGCCAATCAAACAATTAGGTGAGGTGGGGACCACAAGTGTAGGGGTCCAAACTCTGCACTCCTGAGGGAGGCCTTGTGGCTCACCCAGTTTTATAGCCCCAGCCCCTAACAGAGCCTGGTACACAGCAGGTGCTCAATAAATGCTTGCTGAAATCATCTGAGATGGTTTCACCAAGTCACAGTTGGTATAAAGGGTACTTTTAAGATTACAAAACACAATGAAACCCTTCCCTCATGAGACTGAAGGCTCTTATAGACAAGTGCAGTCACAGGGAAATTCTTAAAAGGAAAAGGAATGTCACAGCTTAGGATAAATGCCTGCCAACTGATAATGTGAGATGGAAAAGTAGTGGCTTTCAAAATGTCATGTGGCAATAAGATTGGAGGAAGGACGGATGTGCAGGAGCTGGCGTGTAGCCAGACACGGAAGTACTAGTAACAGAGTCAGTCATCACCCTCCAGGCTCACCCCAGCATGCAGGGAAGGTCGGGACAGGTTGACAAGGACTCTCTCAAAGCCATTTCCTTCTTATTGCCTACGTTCTGGACACCAACTCCGATCCACCCTCGCCCAGCAAGTCTCCACTTCTCTTGGTTTCCAAACCCCTTGCCTCTGACTCACTTACAATTTCTGGAAGCTTCCCAGCTTGCATTTCTAGAACTACAGCTGCCATAATAGCTGTGGTCTGGAAAAGCTTCAGCAGGACTGAAGAATTCCTGGTTTCGCAAGATCAAGTTCTGTTACTCAGAGCAAGGAAGGTCTTTAAGACACCCGGATAATAGAGTGGTAATCTGTTCCGCCATTTCTGCCGTGTGTGAAGGTGTACCCCCACAGCCTCTCCTCCCTGGTAAGGCTGATGACGGTGATGGGGAGATGTCGGGATTGAATAGACTTATTGTGAGCATCTGTATCAAGCCAGCACCATGTGGGGGTGGACCAGGGTCTGTTATTTTCAAACCCAGCCCATACTCTACTGTAGCTTTTTATAAGGCTAACTGGAAATAAGGAAATTGGCAACTCTGAGGTCTGAACAACACCACGAGAAATGGCTGCTGGGAGAGCAGACTCATCTAGCACACAAACCAGCGAACCACACTGGAATCAGAGAAGGGGATTCTGGGTCACTCCAGGGAACGTGTGGCTTTGAGAGAAGGAATTACAAACCACAAACATAGGCCAGGCCTCCCCATGTCAGAAGCTGACTGCCTTCCCGTGGCATCTGGCTTTTCCATTCACACTCGGAGCCTCATTCTGACCTGGCCTTCAAATCAATGAGCTTTGATGGACTCAAGGAAGGAAGAGGGTGAATGTAAAACATTCCTAAGGTTCCACAGCAATACAGGCCGACCCATGTACCCACTCCTGCTTCCTGCCCAGGACTTCGCGAGCCAGCCAGGGTAAAGCACAGTGGCGTGCTCACCTCTGATTTCTCCAGCCTGTTCTGTGCTTCAACCTGAGCCACGATTTCATTCATGTTGGTCTCCAGCACCATCCCACCCATCACCACCTCCTGAAGGATGTAGTGCACCTAAAAGGGAGGCAGAAGCAGGAAGGGTTAGAGTACTCTGCAGTGGGCAGCTGGTGTGGCCCCAAAAGAGACGTCGCACACGGGCTTTCCTGCAGCGGCAGAGTAATTGGACCCAACAGTGGCTCCTGATTCACAGACACTGAAGCCCCGGATCAACCACCTCTCAGGTAAGTCCACAGGGGTTTCCCTCACACCTGGAATATCCTAACGCGAATCTCTTCCATGAGCAGCGGTAGAGGTGCCTGGCTACATACAAGGCAGGGAGATGAGAACACAGGCTTTCAAGTTAGGCAGGCCTTGGTTAATTCTCAGCTCTGCTATTTACTTATTTATGGGCAAATTCTCCTTTCAATGCTTCAGCTTCCTTCCAGGGTGGTGGTGAGGACTGAATGAGATAACCTGTGCAAAGCACCTCACTGGCTGCCTGGCATACACTGAGCTCAAAATAAATAACGATGCCATTCATTACATTATCATCATCCGTCGATGTCCCTCGACAGAGAAATAGATAAACAAAATGTGGTATGTACGTACAATGGAATATAATTCTGCTGTAAAAAAGAAGAAAATTCTGACATATGCTACAGCATGGATGAACTTTGAAGGTCTTAAGCTAAGTGAAATAAGCCAGACACAAAAGGACAAATACGGTATGATCCACTTCTATGAGATACCCAGGAGTAAAAATCAAGGAGGCAGAAAGTAGAATGGTGGTTGCCAGTGGCTGAGGGAAGGGGGGAATGCGGACTTGTTGCTTAATGGGTAGAGAGTTTCAGTTTTGCAAGATGAAGAGTTCTGGAGATGAGGTGCACAAAATGTGAATGCACTTAACGCTACTGAACTGTACCCTTAAAACTTTACATTATGTAAACTTTACCACAATGAAAAAATACAGGTGACTATACCAACACTCCTAGTGTTTAATTATCCCTTTTGTTTAACAAACCCCATCTTCATGGGGAAAGTAGTACTTGTTGAGCATCTACTACGTGCTGGGCACTTCAAATGTGACTTATTTTAATTTCACAACATCCATCTGAGATAGGATATGTAATCTGCATTTTGTATGTGAGAAAACTGATAGTGGAAAAGCCAGTACACTATCCCAACGTCATGTATACTAGCAGCACTAAGCACTGACCCCGGGCCTGTGGGACCCCAGAGCTCATGCCTTGCCTTTCCACACACCTCCTCAAAGTCCTGAACTGCATCTTCCCCTGTTCATCCCTTACCCCAGGCCACGTCGGATCACTTTAAGACTTGCCTTCGGGGTGTCAACAATCTTGTACGAATTCTTCCATGCTTTATCCCCAAGGCCTAGAATAGTGCCCAGGGCAGAGCAGGCAGGCTGAACGAATGGAAGGCTTTCCGTAAGTCTGAGAAGCATGTTCCTTGCGTTAGAAGATGGACACCAGTGTGGTGCTGGGGGCTTTGTGGAGAAGGTGCAGTGACAGGCCTAACACAGACAGGATAGCATTGGACCAGCGGGTTGGCTAATAGAAAATGTCAGTTAAGACTTCAGATTTGAATACTGCATCACGAAGTCATAATTTTAAAATGCTATTCAAAATGCATCTAAGTGCAAAAGGGAGAAATAAATAAAAATGCAAACTCCATTTTCAGCAAAATGAGAAGAGAGCCCAAATGCCAGGCCCCCAAACAGGTGGAACAGTTGTCAAACGCAGGGAGCTTAAAGCATGGGCTCCTTTCCTTTAGAGAAGAAAATGATGAAAGTATGCTGAGCTGGAAAGCTCAGAAAGACCTGCAAAAACACACTTCTTGTAGGTAAAAGGCACACTCTCTGGACCCAACAGATTCCTTGTGTTTGGACAACAGGAACATGCCTGGACCTAGAGTTGGGGCTAAATGAGAAACCGCGCAAACAACCTCCATTTGCCTCACAGAGCTGGTCTCTGTGGTAGCAGAGAAGATAGGCTTTGCATTGTGGAAAAGCTCCTACTCTTATATGAGCCTCTCTCTCTTGGCCGGATACAATAAAGGGTACATGAACTCACCCAGAACCCTAAATTATGAGAACTGCAGCCAGCTTGGAACACAGACTTGGCGCCCCCTAAACAATCATCCTGCAAACAGCTGGTTTCTGAAAAACTCACCTATTTAAAGATGAGTTAGAAAAATGAAATCTGCACAGGATCTATATAAAGATATAACATGAAAAAATTAGGAAAGAAAAAGGCAGACTAAGACTATATACTGGAAAAATGCCACGGAGCAGATAAGATTGTAATAAAATAGTTTGCAAAATTGAAAAATGGAAACTATGAAGCAAGAGCTCAAAGCAGAAATGCAAGAGCTTCCACGAGAGGTAGGGAGACAAGAGGAAGAGAGGACATCTATTAACACTGCTCAGAAAAGAAGTGGAAAGGAAAAACGTACAGAAACGAAGGTGAAACTGGAAGAAACAACAGGGAGAAGAGACACTGCTAAAAACACAGTAAGGAACGAAAAGGAGAAAAATGAAAAAAATCAAGTAAACTGAAATGAAAAAAAGAGTTAAGAGGAATAGAAAAAAATGAGTTACAGAAAACACCAAAGGAGATGTAACATATGCATAAAAAACTAGCATGGAATGAATGGAACATGTATGTAAGGCTTTGTCCATAAAGAGTACATAAAGATATGATTCAAGGTGTGTCTGACACACAGAGGATCTACACACTGAAAGGGCACACAGTACCCCAGGGAAAAGAGAACCCTGAACACTCAGTGCCAAGACAGACAGACCTTCAGGGGAGATTTCAGCAACCTGGCAAAAAGATCGAATCACTTAAAAAGAGGGATGAAATCTCGATATCTCCACAGTAAAATTCAATGCGAGCAGGTAAAGGAACCATACCTACAAAATTCCCAAGGAGAAAAAGTGTGACCTGAGAATTTCATACCCAGTCGGCTGTCAATCAAGAGTACTAGAGTGGGAACTACTGTTCCCATGAGTCTTTCTGGAGAAATCTACAGGATACCCTTCTGCCAGCCAAGGGGTGACTGGAAAATCCACGGCAGGAAGACTGGTGGTGAGCGCTGAGTCTACACAATGGTAGGACTAAGGCTAAACAGGATCACAGTGACAACACAATGTCCATGTTGATGCCTGACAATGCAGAAGAGCTATGGCTAGCAACAATTAGGAACGCGGGGCAAAAGGGGGGGAGAGAATGAGAGCACTGAGTAACCATCAGCAGTGACTGAGAGCTAGCTGATGGCTATCACTTAAAATCAACAACTTATGTAATCAAGATACAGTCATGACTTTTATTGTGACTCCTCCCAAGGTCCACGCCCATAATCATTTGCTACAAACAAAACTTTGAGAGCCATCGAACTGCTGACTCAGGGCCAACAAGCTCTTTCCTGCTGACTAGAGAGCTCTGCCATTTTTCGTGCATGAAATTTACCAATAATGCATCTTCCATAATTTCTTGTTTCTTAAAAGTAGAGGGAGCACTCAGGCTCCTGTGAAGCAGTAAGTACATAATCCTTCTAGGTTTTTTGGAACCCTCCACCTCTCATCTCCTATATTTATCTTGCCCTAACCTAATTCAATTTCATTTCCTTTTTAAAGTAACTTGCCTTTCTAAAGCAATCGCCTTTGTTTTCACAGAACAATTCTCTTTTCTCACACGTGGTTCAACTGTGTATTATTAACTTAATTACATGATTACAATGCCAGTATAACTGGCATCAACAGGTCTGAAAACATCATGCTGACCTTTGGTGAGCAGTCACTCGTGCAGTGTCTATGAGTGAGAATGAGCAGCTAGGGATCAGCTGCCCAGCTGCCCACGGTCACCTGGCAAGTCGGGGAAGACCTCTTCCACTGACCATGAAGTGCACCATGACACACGGGCAACATTTCTTTGAGTGGAGACAGAGGGAACTTGGGAACGTTGGAGGTTGGCAAGCACAGGTGTGGGGAGAAGGCAACCAAGAATCAAAACTCACGTGCGTAACACACTAGAGACGGTCAGATCACAGAGAATGGTTCTGTGATGGTGGAGCTGATGGTGGACTGCTCTTGAGGGTGCCAAGAGGCATGTGAGTCAAGGTCTCAGAGAACCTGAGAGTTAAAGGGCCAACCTGACAAAGGGAGGTGGGAAAAACGAAATCTGCAATCTGAGTCGTGTAGGTGGCAATACAAACCACAACAGAAGAAAGCAAAGAGGTGAAGGTCCTCAAGAGCCCTAAACCCAGCCTAACACGGTGTGCGCTGAACAAATACGAATTAGCAGTTAATGATAATTCACAGTGTTCTGCTATTCAGCAACCACCTAAACTAATGACACCAGCAAAATTCATTCAGAAGCGTTTGTTCAGAGAGCAAAAAGTGCAACTGATCTCTTAGTTCCTGGCAAACCCAATGGCAATCTGACCCAGGAATAATCACAACCAGGAAGTTTCATCTGAACAAAAAAAGATTATGATAACCCCAATAAACCAACAGGTTATCATGATGAAAGGGGAAGGCAACAGAGGAAATCGTTTTGATGATGCATCTGAAATTTCAACACGTTAAAATGCTGTGTGGCAAGTGATGTTTTACAAAAAGATACATAAATGTATGGCCACACTTTGAGTGTAAGTTGGAGTTTTGTTTTGTTTTGTTTTGTTTTTAGCTGAGCCATCCTGCCACCTGAAGTTTATAGTTAGCTCTGTCCTATTAAAAATATTCTTTTTTAAAACCCCTCAAAACAGTAAAAAAGTAGGAATGATTACTAGAATCAAAATGTCTGTTCCTCTGAAGGCAACCTAACAACCTAACCCACAATCAAGCCTCGAATTCTGCCCCCCACATGTCTGGACACCTTCCTTCCCTCATGTTTCTTTTCTAGGAAGCTGCCACATCATCCTCCCTCCCCTAAAGGCACTTGCTTCTGTAAATGGATCCGCTGGGCATCCCATTTGGCCCCCCTCTTCTTTTCTGTCAATGTAAGTTAACCGAGACCTCCCCACCTCATTTCCCAGAGGCAAAAATACGTATGTCC